TCGATCCTCATAATGATGCGCCGGTTCCGCTGCCCCCGCTGATGACTCACGGGCGGAGCAGCGTCGGATTCGGAATCAGAATCACGGTCGGACATGCTGATGCAACTGCGTATGTGTGTAGCAAGCCGATATATTGATGTATGTACACTGTCGGCGGGGCAGGCGCGTGTGTATTACATATATATTACATATAGGGAGTGCTCTTCGCTGAATTCTCATCTAGTTATAGGCTTCTTGTAGTTCCTGCTCTTGGCCTGCTAGCCACATTTTCGATAGGATAACCAGCCGGAGAACTAAGAGGTCGCTTTTCGGCCTGGCTTGTCTGTAATTGCAGGCCGCTGTGAGTGGAGAGTGCAGAGTGCCGAGTGCCGATTTCCGAGAGTGGCATCAATTGCCAATTTTCGGGCGCTCCGCCAGACGTTCGCTCCTTCGCCTCCTCCTTGGGGAATCGAGCGAGTGGCAGCTGCAGTGGCCAGTGGACAATGGGTTCCGATTTTGTTGCCGCAACGCCGATATTTCCAAATTGGTAGCAAACGCAAATTTTTCTCACACAGTTTCCTTCACACACACACTTGGATTTCAGCCATTTTTTCAGCTAGAGGTGGGAGAATGCTTGCAAACGCTTTCGATAGTTTGTTGCCGTTGTCGATGCTTGGCTGAGGCCGATAGTCGCAGTTCTGCTTTTTGTTATAATCGTTTTTGCGGTTTCAATAAGGAAAACGGGTGGTTTGTTTGTACTAAATAAACATAACTACAGTTAGGCAATTCAACAAAAGTCTAATGATTTTGGGGATTTCGGCCAAGCCTATGCTCCCAGTCGACACTTATAGCAAAACCGACTCTCTTATACGACAGTTCAATGAATGCCCAATAAAAAGTATTGATGAATCATCGATGAACTCTGATAATTTTTTGATTTCATACAGGATTGATGAATTATTCAGTGATAAACGGTTTCAAGTTCATCAGTCATTTGAATGAGAATTAATCAATGATTTATCAGTGAAACTTATGTATGATGCATTACTGAGAAATAATCCCCCAGGTCCAGTCAACTGTTGTGTTAAATATATGGATATATACATATATGTATTTTGAAATTTTTTTTTCAATTGTTTTTGGAAAATTCGAAAAATTTGACAACCCCTAAATTATTAAGAAAACCAGTATTAAAAATTGTATTGCCATTACTATTTTGCTTTGGACAAAAATATATTCATTAATGCTTTTACATACTTGCAAATACAATTGCAAATGATTATTTAAAATAATTAAATCATTTTTTAATTACACATTGTTGAATAACAACGACCACATAGAAAAACAAAAATTTTTTTATTTTGTATTATTATTTATTATTGGCTAGAAAGATTTGACAAAAATTAAATACGCTTCAGCAAAAAGAGAAGTATTGTACAAAAATCTTTTTCTTATTTAGCATTTGTTCACCTATTTATCTGGTTTTTTCTTGGATATATTTTTGAGAATGAGATGCATTTTGACCGAAGTTAAAGGGAATTTTTTGATCGTTGTGCGATTAAAGACACCTTAATAAAAACGAAAGTTTACATTGCTGGGGAAAACATTCCACCTGTTAAATACAAATTTAAAGTAAATAAATGGCATTATTATCAATATTTTAAAGTGAGAACTCAGTATTCTCTTTCTCTTCTTTTGTTTCCTAGTTTAATTTCTTCTTGCAGACCGATCAGCTAGTTTATTTATTGATTTGTATGGAAGAAATCAATTTTCTGAAGGGTGAAGAGGCCACATTACAGGAAGAAGGGTTCAAAACCCTGGCTAGGGCGCAAGAAGATAATGATGAAAAAGTAAATGTGCCCAATGATTGCAAGTTTATTGAAATTGGTCACTAAATATTTTATAATTTTCTGGTGAATGCGGACATTGTCCATCTCTATGAGTGCTAGCAGTCGATAGTGCCGCTCTCATATCGTCTTATTTTCTTGGTCGCTGCTAAAGTAGACCCTCACTAACGCCGACAGGCGCTGATAGGCATTTAAATAATATAAAAAGGGAAAAGAATCTATACTGTACAATTTTATTGCGCCAGCTGTCGAAATGCAGGACGAGAATGAGGCTGACATCGTCGTGGAGGCGATAGAGGTGCTGGTTAATCACATTCTGTATGTGCGGGGTATATACCCCGCGCACATATTTAAAAAGAAGCGAATGTACAATACACCGGTCTTTGTCTCAATCTTCCCGCCGCTCAATAACTACCTCACCGGCGTTTTAAGATCCGCTCAGGAACTTCTCCGTCGCAGGGAGCTGCAGTGCCTGGAGCTGATAGTGTATCAGAAAGAAAGTGAGCAGTTGGAGAGCTACAAAATGTCAACTGTTCCCCCGGGGGATGGCCAATTGGCGGATGATCATTTAATGGAGTTCGAGCAGAAAATGCGCTCGGCCATCTACCAAATAGCCGAACGGATGAATCAAGTCCGCAAATTTCCTGCAGGAAGCTGCCAGTTTAAAATCCACCTGCACACGACACAGGAGGCATTTATTCGCCTCAGCCACGAATCCCAGTACCAGGAGTTCCCTTGGCTCCAAGCGCAGAATCAAGAACCGCAGTCGCCATTCGAAACTGTTTCCCTGTTACCCTTGGCTATGGTGGAGACTGTGGGATTGAAAATGGAGGCACTCCTTCTTAACTAATGTACACTACCACATATATAATTGTTATGTAAATAAAAATACAAATATTACAAGAAGTGGTGTTTACTTTAAATTACATAGACTACCCTGGTCGCTAGTTATAAATCGTATGGTAATTTTAGAATAATAATAAAGGTCTATACTTTTGAATAAATTTCTCCGCTGCCCGCGTCAAAAAATTGGATCATGCCGGACCAATAAAGTTTTAAAATTACTAAGCACCGCATACGATTGACCAGTTTTTAAGGGTCACTCAAATCTACTCTAGAGCAGTCCTTGGCGTTTTAGATCCTCGAACGTCTTTCTGTTGACAACGTTGCCCAGCGAGTCCTCGAACTCCTCCTCCTGGTCGGCGATCCAGCGTTCGCTCTGCTTCTGCGACTTAAGCTTCTCCCACAGCGTGATCGCGTCCTCGATCTGTGTTACATTAGCGAAATGGGCGGTGTTCGGGATGCCCAGACAGCGCATGCCATGCGCGTGTCGCCACTCGGCAAAGTGGCGTTGGAAGGCCTTGGGACCCTTGTAGGTGAAATTTCCGCAGATCTCGCAGTTGTAGCTGATGTTCAGTCCGTGCAACTTGTACAGCCAGTAAGGGATAGGTTTGCCGTCCCATCCAAGCGGCAGGTTTTTCGGATTATACGGCACATCGTCCGCATCGGGATCGTCGTCGTTATCCGACTCGCTGGCCTCCACATCGCTGTCGTCCCGCTCGCCGCCGGTCCGAGCCTGTTTTCTCTGGACATTCTCCTTGGTAGCCGCTCTCTGCTCGGATAGAAGCTCCGCATACTTGTAGAGCAGTGCCTCCAGTTGGGCAATTTCCTTGTGACGTTCGTGCTCACGTGATTGCGCACTGGCGGTCTTTGCGCTGGGCTTCTTAGCCATCAGAGCGGGATCCAAAGTGCTCTTCCCCTTGGTTGAGAATAGCCGCTGTGCGCGCTCCTCCAGGGTGCCTCCGCATTTTAGCCCCAGGGCCACCAACGCCGATTTCAAACGATCTAATCCCAACGATGCCAGCTCCTCCCAGCTGGAGAAGGCGGAGAGGTCGAGGTGGGCGCCGGTGTTGGCCAGCGCAGATTCTGTCTCCTTGAGCGAGAAGCCTGGAAATGTACCTAGCAGCCACTGGCGCTGAAAATCCAGCTCCACCTTCAGCAGCTCCCCCTCCAAATCGAGCAAGGGCTGGATTCGCAGGATGAAGTGGTGCAGGTAGTCGTTGAGGGTCTCTATGTACTTGCGGTACTCGCGGTTCTTGCGTTCTCGAGGGATGTCGAAAACATGGTCAAAGGACATCAGGTAAGTGATATAATCCAACTTTTCAACCGCCCGCAAGTTAAGATAGAGCTCGTAGCACTCGTTGAGGTCCAGATACCGGCCGCCACCCTCCTCATCCGTGAACTCCACCAGGGCGCTCATGTCGTCCGGATTGTTGTACACCCGGATCATCTCGTCGAACTCTACGGACAGCGGTACGCTGACCTCTGCCGGATGGGACTTGTAGAACTGCTTGATTTGCTTGAGGCGGGCGTAGAACTCGTTGAACTCGTTAGGTCCCGAAAGAGCGGCGATCTCCGCCTTCCGCTCGTTGTCCTTGTCCTCGTAGAGGTCGCGCAACTGGGACGTGGCGTTGTGGTGCAGTTCCATGAGGTACTTCAGCCGATGCTCCGAGTGGATGCGCTCCTTTTCGCCCGGCTTCTTGGTGGCATGCTCGTCCACCATCAGTTTAACCAGGCGCTCGCGCTCCTCGTGGTAGCGTCGTTGTTGCTCCAGGAGCGTCTCCATGGCTCTTCAGTGCAAGGATTAAATATGAGTTAAATTCAAATAGAAGGCCCCTTTTCAGCGAAATCCAGTCGAAAAACAAAAGTGTATTTTATTTAGCGTGTGTACATTAAAAACCAGTCACCACGAAGTAGGAATGGCAAAATATCGACATCGAACTTTCAAGAAGGTAGTATACCCTCTTCACACTGACGTTTAAAAGTGCAAACTTACCATGCGTTCCCATGGGACGTTGCTGTTTGACTCTTTAATTCAGGAATGATCTAAAAATTGTGAAATCAATTTGAATGCGAGCTTTGTATAGAAAATATAATTTTAAAAAATATTTTAAATCAATTTATTTAAATAGAGTTGCTGAAACCTTTGAATTCAATAAAAAAAAACTGTAGCTTTAATTGCTAGAAACTGTGTAATATCTTATTTTCAATTAAAATGTATTTATCTCTTTAAATCACATTTAAAACTAGCTGTTGGTTATAGGGTATGTTCAACAGTAGGTAACACCGAGTCGAGTTAAGAATGTGAAACCCGTACCACGATATCGATATCATAGTCTATCGAAGGTATGACGGCTCCAACAAATACACATTTTTGCCCATGCAAGCGCAGGGTCACACTTCCCGTGAAATCATATGATCGATTTGCAGTGAAAATTTTCAGACGTTGGGCAGAAGGCAAAAGTAACTTACCGTTTTCCACTTTCCTCGTGTGGGCCGCAGTTTTCAACTCGACTCGGCTCTGAATTTATTAATTTAACTAAATTTGTAACCATTGCAGGCACGGTTGTACGTGGACTTCTTCGAAACACTTGAATTTCCTTTCGGTTCGGTTTGTGCAAGTGAGAAAAATCAGTCAAGATGGCACTGAGCGATGCTGATGTACAGAAACAGGTAATTGGAAGCGGGAAGGCGGCGAAGGTCGTGCCTGGACATAGTGGATAGAATAGGGAAACTCTCAAAACTAGGTACTCCTCCTGGACTTGTCTCCGCAATAAAGATGGCGTAGTCATGGGATCCGATATGTTCACCAAGTCATGTGAACTTTTTATGCCCAAACTTATTGGCCTGCCATTCGCCCAATTGGCAAAAAACATTCAAGTTATTCTGTGATTGCGGCACAATTATTGGTTATTAGGGACCCAGCAAGGCAATTGTCCAAATACTTTGCGTAAAAAGTGAGTAAAAAATTCGTGCTGGTCATGTGACACGGCCCCCGCAATGGTCCAATGTGTTGGAGCGAGACGACTAGCCCTGCGCCCCCACACTCGCACTCTCTGTCACACGACCAGCGAACCCCTTACGTTATCAAAACTTAAACGAAAATAAATAGAGGCTAGGGTTTTGGGTTTTGGGACGTTTCCCATGAAATGCAACTATCATGTGACGAAAGGGGCAACTACTAAACAGGACGACTGTTTCAGATCAAACACATGATGGCGTTCATTGAGCAGGAGGCCAATGAAAAAGCCGAGGAGATCGACGCCAAGGCCGAGGAGGAGTTCAACATCGAGAAGGGACGCCTCGTCCAGCAGCAGCGCCTCAAGATCATGGAGTACTACGAGAAAAAGGAGAAGCAGGTGGAGCTGCAGAAGAAGATCCAGTCCTCCAACATGCTCAACCAGGCTCGCCTGAAGGTGGGTCTCTTATCTAGTGGCCCTCGACCTGGAAAACCTCAACTCATTTGGAACCTCGTTACAGGTGCTGAAAGTGCGCGAGGACCATGTGAGCAGCGTGCTGGATGATGCCCGCAAGCGTCTCGGCGAGGTCACCCAGAAGCAGACCGAATACCAGACTGTGCTGACCAAGCTAATCGTCCAGGGCCTGTTCCAGGTCATGGAGCCCAAGGTGATCCTGCGCTGCCGAGAGGTCGATGTGCCCCTGGTGCGCGATGTCCTGCCCAGTGCTGTGGAGCAGTACAAGGCCGGGATCCAACAGAACGTTGATCTGTTCATCGACGAGAAAGACTTCCTATCTGCTGATACCTGCGGCGGTGTTGAGCTGCTGGCCCTGAACGGACGCATCAAGGTTTGTTCCCTCCCCATAACATGATATAAGTGCATTCTTAACTAAACATTAAAATTATTGCAGGTGCCCAACACCCTGGAGTCCAGATTAGAGCTCATTTCGCAGCAGCTGGTGCCCGAGATTCGTAACGCCCTGTTCGGCCGTAACGTCAATCGTAAATTCACCGACTAAATTCTTTAAGTGCAAAACAAAACATAACTAATCAGAAAGAGAACCAGCATCAACACCTATCCAGCAGGAACAGTTCAAGTTATAACAACAGAAGCTCCAACCCACTAAATATTGAACCCAAGTAAAATCATCCTTTGGCAGTCAGGCAACAGCTAGGATTATATTCGATTTCAAAATACTTTTGCCGTTGTCTTTGTATAGTGAAACTGAAACACTCAAGAACATTTCGGTCCTTGTGTATGCAGCAGTTATATGATACCCACACTAAACACACATATATATACTCCGATATATATGTTTGTATGCCAATACTTACTATATAGTTTAGAGGACACGATCCTAGGAGCATACGAAAGCATAATACGAGTTTGTTAAAGTTTGTTCGTTTTTTTTACATATGCACATATTTCTGAGCAGTAGGTCCAGGAATGTGCTTATATTGTATACATACACTTTAAAATTTTGCATACATTCCTGTCCAAGAATTTTGTTTTCAATTTTGCCCTCTTTTTGCGTTGTTTTTTGTACATTAATTTCTGTCGTCTGTAGTCTTTGTTGAAGTTTATATGTCTACGTCGTTTATGTTTGTAATTATTAAGTGCAGCGATTAGAAGGAGCAACGGCGGTGGATCACCCTTTTCAGTGCCGCTGGCAGCCTGTGCACGTGGCCACTCAGCATTGTTGCCCGCCGAAACACCGAAATGGACCCAAAAAACCAATTTCGCTGCTTCGAGGGCAACGGACACGTGTGCAGCTGCCACTGGCCCATCAAAAGCCCCGAAAGTCATCAATGTCTGTTGTTGAGTTAGCGAAAGTAACGAATACACACTATTAAGCACGCAACATTTACTCTCCATAATTCACCGCACCCAAGACGAAGAAGTATTGCCAAGCCGCCCAAGTAGCTAAATTTGTTGACCCTCAAGTTCAGCTTCCACACTATAAAACCATATAATACTTAAAAGAAAATAAAAAAAATGGAAATTAGATTCGCAGTTTAGGGGGCTGCCGAACTGCCACCGATTCCTCTCGCCGCTGCACCATCATTTCAGGCTCTAAAACAACACCACGTTCATACACCCGACTAACACGCAGGAACTACAGCTAATTTGAACCTTGTATTTGCATGTTCGCCAATGTTCATAGTGTATTCTTCAGGCTCATTTTCTAACCGTTACCAAGTAAATTGAAATTGTTCAAGTATGATGAATAACTACAAATTTAGCAAACAAATACAAAATAGCATATGCGTTATTATATAACATCGAGTACTATATACATTACATGAAATACGAAATGCAAGAAAAATTACTTTTAAACAAAATTTATGTTGAATAAAAACAGTATTTCCAAAAACTAAACCAAACAAAAATTGTTTTTTATTGCTAAGGGGGGCGATTTTTGTTTTTTTTCTTTAAAGAAAGAGATGGATCAAATAAATTTAACCACCTTGGTCTCTAGTTAAAATTTCTAATGGGTACATATTCAAATAGAGAAACCCAATTTAATGTAAATTGCAGACGAATGAAAACTCTTTTGAAAGTAGGATGTTATCTTATGTATAACCATTATTTGTCATAAAGGTTGATGTCAGAAGTGGTGTATTTTGAAGGTAAGATCGTTACTAGTTTCTTGCTTCGTCAAGAGGTCTTATTGTTTAATATCAGTTGTCATTAAAAAATGTATGGCCTAATTTAGCAAAATCTTTGGCTTCACCCAGCTGATAATGTTTACATTTGTTTTCAGCTAAACACATTCTAAAGCATTGAAATATAAAAAAAATAACAAAGAAAATCTTAATTTAAAAACGTATAAGTTTCACGTCTGTCTAGCTTTTACATTACATTTTGTATACATTTTTGGATTACCAGATTGGTGTTGCATAGTTTTTGGCAAGTATCAGAAAAATTAGTCGATTAGATTTCAGAAAACCGGTAAAGTGTTTCCAAAAAAATATAGGCATAATTTCGCAACTTTTGAAAGTAGAACAAGTATCTTATGGAAACATCATCAGCCGTGGTGTATTAGTGGTTTCGATCGAAGCATCGCAAAATATTTTCAATTTTGGGGCTTTTTCTTTTCGCGCACATTCGCGGTACCCTTATTTACTGCAGGGACTGCCGTCCACACTTATAAGAGGGAAATCTTGTATCCCGTTTTATATATAAAACTTTGCACTGAAAAAATCTTTAAGAGTTTATGCGATTTGTTAGCGTGGAACTGGGCTGAAATAAACATAGGCACTACTAGCATCTAAATGCAATATTTTAACTCTTTCGTTTTTAAATGTGGGCGCCAGAGCGCCAGAGCGCTTTTCAAAGAATAAAAAATACTCTTATTCTACGAGTAATGGGAAAAGCACTGTAAAATTCACGATTTAGAATTTTTTTCTGTTTTGTCTGGCCAGTTTATTCACCGTTTAAATATTTTCCCTAGGAAAAATGTATATGGGATTTTCACTTTGACTTTTTTTTACCTCGTCAAGAAGACTTTTGCTGGTCAAAAAAGGACCGATATATATATATTTAACGACAGTTTTGCCAGCTTGAAATCCTTCTTCGATTGATGAGAAACTGCTGTTCACGTCAACTGCTACAATATGATGGAAGACCTTTAACAAAATTTCAGTTTTACATTTGTCTGAGTACCCAACCGTTTCACACCGATAGACTCTGTGGGAAGAGGCTATAACGCCCACCGTGTTATTTTAACCCCTTTACTTTTAGTTTCACTTTGATATACAATAACTTGATTAATATTTTTTTAATGAATCTAACCGTATGTTTCCGAAAACCGAATCGTTAAGAATTGGTCAGCTGTATATCATATATACACAGAAATCACTTAGCGCTGAATTTAAACGGATGCATATAAGGGGATATTCGTATATTTCGAATTCATATAGGGGTGGGTGCTAGTTGACTACTTCTGTTAACAAAATTAATTTAATGTACTACATGGGGGAGCGAGCCTAAAATCATTAAATAATTTCTGTGGCAGCCGATTTTAAATACAAATTTTTGCCGAAGAGACTTCCGCGTCACCCCCAAACAAATTTGTTCGGGTCGAATACATCAGTACATCATGAATACACATCAGTCAGTGTTTTCTTGATGTGCAAGAACCGCGGCCAACTTATATGCACCACATCCACTCCCTTAAACCTTGTCCGACCTACAAATGTACCGAACTTTACATACCTTCTTAGCGTAATAATTAAATACTTTTTGTTGTTTTTCATTTAATGGTTGTATACATATACAAATGTACTTTCATGCAATTTATATTTGGTAATTTGATCGGTTCTGTTCAAATACGTTGCGATGAAACTTGCTAGCATAAGATCTCTCAATCTCTTTTTCAAAGATAGCATTCGTCATTGCGTCGTTGACGTGGCTGATCATTTGATAAAGAATCCTAGTTCTTGTCGCAATATGCATATGTAGGGAAAAATGAATAAATAATAAAGCGAACATACAAACGGGACACAGCCCTTTTCCCCACATAAAGCGTTTCTATAATCTCTATTTTCGATAAAAGTTTTTCCGAACAAGTTTTCCATACAATTTTAAATAGGTTTAAAGTGAATATGTCCTGTGATCCTGTGTGAGGTTATTTTATTCATTACAAGTTACCTCCGTTTCCGATGTTTTTTGGTACTTGTAGAACTTGAAACTTTTATTAACACATTTAAATCAATTTGTTTCTATATATTCATCTTGCGTATATTGCCTTTAAACGGGAACTGAATATGGGTCACGATTGATTTAATAAAGACATCATTTGGAAAACTAAGATATCGGACAGTGGACTACAAACTTGTAATTTCTAGCACGACGGTATGTTTTACTCTCTCCTTTATTGTTGAAATTTTTTGAGTGTTATATAGGTGGAGTTTCTCATAATGATGTTATTCATAGGGGTGGATTGTATATATAGTTCGACTGGCTGTTGTAGATGCTGGTTCCGAATTATCGGATGGGGATGGTAAAGGGCGGCTCCGTTTGTGTTGTTCCTTTTCTTTTTAGCCATTAACCTTGTCCTTGTTACTCGCCGTTCTTTTGTTCGTCCTCAGATTCGGATTCTGTAAAGCCATAAGGAAACAAAACGTTACTATTGTTTTCAAGAAGTACATATAAACAACTAATTTAACTGACTCTTTAGTACGTCTGTCCAAATGATTATTGGCCAAATTTAACTATATAGAGTTATTTGGACACCCAACCATTCAAATGCTCTGGCACACATCCCTTATAGCTCAATCAAACGATGCAAACGTTCGGAGATTTAACAGTGGGGGAGTGTGCAGATTAATACCGATGCAGCTGTCCAAACGATTATTGGCCAAAATGAACCACGGGTGGGTTATATGGACACCCAATCATTCTTTTGCTCTGGCATACTGTACATGAACCCTTTAAATTTGGTACCAATTAAGGGAAGCCCTTAAAAGCTTTGTAAGAAGCATGCTTATTAAAAACATATGATTTTGTCCAAGTTTTCATTGGCCTATGATGCTTAGGGGTTTGTAAAGCAACAAGGCAAGCAAAAAACCCAAATGCTCTTGCAATTTTGTACAATGAAAGTGCCATCATGGACAAGACCATTCTCAAAAATTGCACTACACTACCATTTGATGGAAGCACTTTTTAGACTTGCTAGGGCGGCACCCAACTAAATTAAATACCGTATTGTCCAAGTTTTCATTGGCCTGCGTAGTTCACTGAATTTGAAAGCAACGAGGCAAGCAAAAAACTAAAATTATCTTGCAATTGTGTACCAGAATCAAGCCATTTGGGACAAGACCATTCTCAAATAATTGCACTAGTGTCATTTCAAAAATACGAACCTTCTTCGGCTGATTGAAGCCATTCGACAAACTTGCGCATTTGTTCGAGGAAATGCATCTTGCCCTTATTTGAGTGACCGTCTTTGTACCAGCGCAAGATGATCTCCTCGGACAGAACCTCGGTCTTGTAGAACAACAAGATGATCTTTTGGAAGGCCTTCATAAAGTTCATGTTCTCGTAGCAGAATTCCTGCACCTTTAGGATAAGGGCCAACTCCGAACGGTCTGTTGAGGCGAAAGCCTGCAACAGTGTGCAGTATGTCTTCAGGTGACGAACAGCCTGATCGGTAACCAGCTCCTCCTTCTTGTTCCATTCGCCCAATGACATGATGGTGGACCAAATCTGTTAAAGATCATAGATGCGCTTGCTTTAGAAAGAAGTTGGTTGCGATTTATATTGGCTGACAAGACTTACAATTACAATTATTTCATGATCGGGAATGTTGTTGCGTTGCGAGAATTCCTTAATGTCTGAGGTTATCTCATTGTGTGGCTTCTCATCGTTGATATCATCGATGAGTGCCTGCTGCAACTCGCGCTTAGCCTCCTGGCTAGCTTGAGCCTTATGCAGCTTGACGATCTCGTTGAGTTCTTTGTCAAGAAAAACTTGTTTAAAATATTCCTCAGTACGTTTGTTTGGTGGGAAAAAGTCCATAAGTCTACAATAGACATAGATAAAGCAAAATTAATTAGTTCAAAAAACGAATTTCGTGTTAAAAATTTTTTGTTTATAGTGTACGAAATTAAATCGGCACCCAAATGAAGCCAAGGTTCATTTGCGAATTAGGTAAAACTCCATCAAATTTTTTATTCTAGGAATATCAATTAAAGATGCACAACTGGCTGATTGAAGCATCTTCCTGAGAACATTCCGGACTAAGTACAACCCGACCAATTAACTTACTTGCTTTCCAGTCCACCCTTCTTAAGCGCCTGAATCAGATATGCAATGCCCTTCTCTTGCTTGAACGTCTGGAACAGCTCTAGTAGAAACTCCAGTGCAATGCCATCTTTGATCAGATGCTCGTTGTTCAGTACCAGTAAGACATTTGGCGGTACAGAGCCGTTAACTGCGGATTAAAGAAAGGCGTGCCAACGCTTAGTACTTGTTTTCGAAAAATACGTTTAAAGAGCCTGAATGAGACCTTGTCCTTGGGCTCGTGGCTCTTGGATGTGGCTAAATCATCCAAGAGTCAGTATACCAAGAGTGAGTTTACTTTAGCCCCTCAGCTACCAGTCGAACAAGTGTTCATCAAGACTCAACTAATTTGATAACTAAATGGGCTGGATATACGCAACGAAAATATGGGTTTTGAACATGGATAACTTACCTAACCAGAGCGCTGTCATACGCGCAAGCTTGATACGTTCACTTGGGGTAAAGCCCTTTACGAATAATAGAACTTTCCCCATCTCCTCTTCGAACATTTTCTCAAGGTACTTGTACCGTCTGATGAGCTTAACAAATACCTAAAAATAGAAGAAAGAAAATGTACACTTATTAGTTGGCTGTTATATTTATCGGCATTCTTAGTTTTACATTTTGGACTCTTTGTTGCAACATTAGAAATCTTTATATTGCTGGCTTAAGAATTTAACAAAATAAAGACAAGTAAAATGGTGCTTTTAATTTTGCATATTTTGACACCGATTAGGTTGTTGAGATCCATAACCGGTTCTAATAATATGCACAGCGACTCAATAGCGTGACCTTCCAAGTGTGTCGTAGATAGAGATTAGTTGTTGACACAGAAGAAATCTCCAGAATGTTAGAGATTAGAACAAACCAAAGACAAGTAAATGTGTCAGTTCATATTGCATTTCTTGACACTGATTACATTTTTAAACTTTATAATCAGTTCTAATGAAATGCAGGAACATTACTTATTAAACAATTCTTGTAAAATTTCTAGTAATATCATATGTTATCAACTTAAAACTTTTAAAGCTTTAACAAACCTGTTCATGGTTGCGCATGGACTCCATGCTCTCGGGCGCATCGAAGATGCAGTAGTTTGTGCGTGGCTTTTCGCCATCCTGAGATATGGAACCGCCAGGCACTGTAATCGAAGAAGAGAAAATCGACAGTCAGATAAATCATGACCGGGAATCTTCGCAGCCAAAGGGACTTACCTAGTAGACCTCCTGCAATCAATATATCGAAGAGAACTTCACCGTAACGACGATAGTCGAGCTTGTTGCCCGCGCTGTCTAGATATTTAGAGATTTGTTCCAGGTCGCCTTCAGTTTTTTCGAGACCAGCAATGACCGCATCACGGAATCCCGTTGGGTCATATTTTTCTCTTTCATCTCTTTTTCTGGTCTTGATGCGTTGACCCGATAGCACTGGTCTTTCAGTTTTTTGACTCATACAATAAATTGCTGCAAAGGTAAAAATCGATCAGAGATGGAAGAGCTTTAGGTTTGGCCCTGTTAGTTTCTATTTCTGGGGAGACTCAATTGGCAAGGCCACTAGATGGGTTACAATATGCTTTTCGTGTTTTATTTTATTATTAAAAAGCGAACTAACAGTAAATGATGACTAAGCCCTTCTACACGAGTTTTTTCTATAGTTCTCATAAATACTTTTGGTTTGTACCTGAAATATAATTTAAACACCTCATGCCGGGTGTTGAAGCAAAACTCTAATAAAAAAAAATATACTCAGCTCGTGTAGGGAAACCTTAACCTAAAAATGCTCGCGTACATGTGCTTTGCGCACTCACACATTCACGAACAGAGAACGACCACACTCCCCTCCCTCTCTCCTTAACACATTCTATCTCACATACACACGCACTCAATCTTTTACAGTTTGATAATGACGAAAAAGAAATGAAATGAAATAAAATGAAAGGCGAGGCGAGGAGAACCGCCCGCCCAAGAAATCGACAAAGAAACGCAGAATAAAGTGAAATTTTGACGTTGTTACTCTGTTGGGTAGCGCGCGGCAGGGAAACGAGGTCATTGTGCATGTAGTACACATACAAAAGCGACCCGTGTGCTGACGTCTACGTATTGGCTGGCTGGGGAAATTGTCAAAGCAGTGAAATCGCGAAAATGGAAATACCTAGGTTTTCAAGTACGCTTTCGGCTGATTCAAGGAACTGAAACTTACACTTTCACTCAACGGAAATAAGTCTGGCCCTGTGTTCGCCGCTTCCGCGTGTCCTTGCAAGTAATCGAACTCTGGTGAGTGTGTGTGTGCGTGTGTGCGCCTGTTGCTTTTTCACAACTGACGAGGCGAGTGTGTGAGCGTGTTTAAGAATGTGTAATTTAATTTAACCTCGCGCGGCGCTTACTAATACTATTGAGTCGAGACGACAAAAAACAAAGAGACAGATCTCTTCTTTCCTTTTTACTTACAAGCTTTTGCACTGTAAAATTGACACGCACGCACACACACTCAACAGTGACTGAAGGAGAGAGAAAGCCAAAGAGTATATTTTTTGTAACGGAATTTACTTTTCTGCCTTTAATATCAACGTTAACAATTTTGCCCGAGTCGAATTCAGACTACGTCCGGAATTCTATTTTTAACAGCTATCACAATCGGTTACTAGGTATGTGTTGTTTGCCTCAAGTCCAGCGCCCCGTCTGCGCGCACCACTTTGTTAAATGAAATTCAGAGAGCGAATGAGCGAATGACACACGAGCGGTCGGCCGAACGAGGCGAAGCAGACGAGCCGATAACGAAGACATGTGGTTCGGCGCCATTTTGAAGCGACAATTGACATGGCGAACTGCGGATGAGGGGGAGAGGGAAACGAAAAGAAACGGGGAAACTGCGAACGTAAAACGAAAAAAAAACTGAGGGGGTCCAAAGTGTGCATATTTCTGTCGCTCTTATTAAATAATGTGCAAGGTACAGTCGAACAAAGGCCCGCTGGCCACTAAATGCTTTGCTGCGTGAATTTATGGCTGCCCGATGACTAACCTCGCCATATGTACGCACGCAGTTCGTACATAACCCCTTTTCCAACAAAGGCGCAGACAAAGGCTTCGTCATTGCTGTCAAAACTACCAATACCGAGTTTGTCGACGCTAACCTGGCAAATCTCAGCTAACATCTACTCTATATTAGTTGTGCTTAGGTACTTACGATTAAAACAAAAAAATCTGTTTTGCTGCGAATAGAAGTAACTTTTTGTGTAGCTGTTGGGCTGTTACTTCTCGACGACTTGCAGTGGGACCGTGGCTTGTTCCGCACGAAATAATGAAGTGCCTTGCCAGATGGGAAAATTACACAACTTTGTATCTGTTGCCGACTGGTCACACTCCCAAGAACAAAATGAGTTTTTATCGGGCTACTCTTTGTTTTACTGGGGTTTCCGCTCGTTAAAATCTTCGACCTTGAAGCAGTTCGCAGCTTTAAGTAAATTACAAGAAAAAGAGACAATCGTGAGCATTCGCACGATTTTCCATTAAGCGGACCACTTTTTGTCCGTTAAAAATAGTGCTGCCGGACTTACGCAGTTTTAATTTTATTCTTGCTGTGTTTTTACACTATTAAAAATTCTCATTTGCCGAAATGACTAAATTTAAATTAAACATAAAATATTAGCAGTTTTAGTTACTCTAAAATTATTAATAAGCTAGGGACAACTAAAATATAGTATTCTAATTTATTTAAAAGTAAATAATGCTTTCTCGTGATGTTACAGAGTTGCAATGGCTTTTTCATGAACTAAGGTAACTACTCTGGATTTCAACAGTTCAACTGCCTCGAGGTTTCAGAAATTTTTATTTAAATTTTCAACAAATCAGGAAATGGTCGTTCTGTTCGGCATAGCTATTTTTCTACGCAAAGAAAATGGCTAGATTATCGACAATGTGGCAACGCCGCTTAATAATTCACTAAATCCAATTGGAACTGTTTGGCGCACACATATTACGATATTGTTTACTTTTTAATATAATTATTTCAAAAGCTGCGTAAAACGAAATGAACTTTGATCATATAAATGTACCAGGAAAACTAGTGCCGGACAACTATTTGCAGCTGGGACTAGCAGCTCAACGCAGCAAGCAACGCAGTTTCAAAGAGCTCCTCGAGAAGGTAAACAAACCGAAGCTTATCCAAATTTAAGAACTAATTTTTTATTACTAAAGAGGAAACTGCCGGAGACTGGATGGTCCGATGAGCAGATTGAGGAGCTGGTGCTTCAGCTGGCGTCCTTGGACAGCAATAACTTTCCGCACAAGGTCGGACTGGGAGAACGGGAGGCCCGAATTGCGTGTAGTGAGTTGACTAGTTTTACACAAACCAAGATCATTAACCCCCTATTATTGGGGAGCACTGGTTCCTACGAACTGTTAATACCCCTTTACTTATTTCGCCTTTTCTCATACAGAACTCGTCGCCCGCCGACACTACAATTTTGGTCACGGAATCGGCCGCTCTGGTGATTTACTGGAGGCGCAACCCAAGGCAGCAGGCTCCACGCTACTTGCACGCTTGACAAATGCGCTAATCCTGGACCTTGTGCGGGGAATCGGACTGTCCAGTTGTGCCGGCTGCTTCCTCGTGCCGATGTGCACTGGGATGACCCTAACCCTGTGTCTGCAGAGTCTTCGCAAGCGGAGACCCGGGGCGAAGTATGTGCTCTGGTCCCGCATCGATCAAAAGTCCTGCTTCAAGGCCATCACCGCCGCGGGCTTGGAGCCAGTAATAATCCCCTGTCAGGTTAACGGAGAGTCTCTGCACACCGACATCAATTTATTCCGGGAGAAGATAGAGCTGCTGGGAGTCGATAGCATCCTCTGCCTATACACCACCACCAGTTGTTTTGCTCCGCGCAACTGCGATGACATTGCGGAAATATCCAAGCTGTCACTGCAGACGCAGCTCCCCCACCTGGTCAACAATGCTTACGGACTACAGGCGAAGGACATCGTTCGTCAGCTGGAGCGGGCAAATCAAATCGGACGCATTGATTACTTTGTCCAGAGCAGCGACAAGAATCTGTTGGTTCCAGTGGGCGGTGCCATTGTGGCCAGTTTCAATGCGAGTCTGCTGCACGAAGTGGCTAGCAGTTATGCAGGAAGAGCTAGTGGCTCCCAGTCCCTGGACGTCCTTATGACGCTCCTATCGCTCGGTCGCAAGGGTTTTCAATCGCTCATCCAGCAGCGGGCCGAGAACTTCATATACCTCAGAGATTGCCTTAAGAAATTTGCAGAGAGTCGCGGAGAAGTGGTAATTGATAGCAGGTATAACTCCATATCTTTGGCAATAACACTAGGTACAATTGCTGTGGATGAGAAGGAAAGCATCACCCAGCTTGGATCTATGCTGCACATGCGTGGAGTGTCCGGAGCAAGAGTAGTTGTGCCGGGGCAAACCAAAACCATTGATGGACATAAGTTTGTGGGTGAGTAAACGCAGGTATGAGTTGTTTGTGATACTAAAATAAATACGCAAATTTGGTTCAGATTTTGGATCCCACCGCAACGAGCTTAAAGTGCCTTATCTAACTGTGGCGTCTGCCTTGGGAATAACTCGAGAGGAGATCGACAAATTTTTTGATATCTTTGGCAAGTGCTGGCACCAGTTAAGTCAAAATAAAAATGAAAGCAAAACAAAAAACCTACCGAAGGCAACAGACTAACAAATGCATCACTTAAATTAACTTAATGTTATATAGCGACATACAAAAAACTAACTTATAGGTTTAAAAAACAAAATGATGTTGGCTCGTTTTATTAAGGTGCTTTTAGTTTTGAAATCACTTTTTTGTTATTGCAACAGCTTTGAGATGGCGTTTAGCGCGCAGGAAAGTTGGTGTTCAAAAAGTATGCAACAACAATTTGTTCTGATAATCCTCCCATAAACAAGTCCTGGAAAGGACAATGAGCAAATGTTAAACCAATTGTAAATTTAAACAAATCAAAATTTAGGAATGTATAGCAACTTGTATTTTGATAAACAATTTGGCAGTGCATGCGATAACGACAATTTACTAACGAGACAAATAAACCCAAGTTCCCTAGCTTTTGCTGTGGCCATTAGATTTGGGTTTATTATTCGAGCTGCTAGTTGGGTTGCTGCTGCTATTGCTGGGCACGTTTTCCTTGTCGCGGTGCCTTTCGCGACTTCTTCGCTCCAGGTGCTGGTTCATGGTTGCTTCGATCTTGGCCAGTGACAGGTCATACTCATGTTTTATGCGTTCATACTCTCGTTTCATATGAGCTTCCTTGTCCTCGGCATACAACTTGTAATTGTGGGCGGTACGCTTTGCACTTTGATAGCGCTGCTGGGCAGATCTCATCGCCTCTTCGTGGGTGGTGCGCAATGAGTCCAGCTGCTGGCGCCAGTGCTGCTCCACCTGGTCGATAGACTGCCGCTGTTTCTCCCACTGAGCCATCACAGCCTTCATGGACTGCCTCTCCGATTCGATGCTGGCGTGTTGCTCCTCCACTTCGCGGAGGAGTTCAGCGATTCGCTGGTTCTTTGCTTGCAGCTCTTGCCGGCACTTTTGCAGCATTGCCTTCTGTTTTTCTTCCTTGTCGGCCAAAATCTCTTCGATGTTCTCGCGTTCTGCCAGGATGGTTTGCTTAAGCAGATCAACCTCTGTTTGCCGCTGCTGCAGCTCTGTACACACCGCTTGGTACTCCCTTTGTAGGCACTGACTCCGCTCTTCAGTCTGTTGCAGGCGGGATGTGAACTTCTTGAGTTCGGCCGCAAAAAGTTTGGCCATCTCATCGCGAACCCGCTGTTCGATTATCTTTATCCGCTCCTGGGTTAGCTCTTTTGGGGATGAGCTCGGCGAGGAATCAGATTTAGACTTCGGACTGGGCGCGTTCTTCTTCTGCTGCTGTTGCTTTTGATACTCCTCCTGCTGCCTTATGTACGCCTCAAATTGTTTGGCCTTCTCCTTGAGGTCGTTAATAAGCTCGTCCTGTTTGCTAGAAAGCTCGATCTTTTCCTGCATCTCGGCCTGCAAAATCTTGGATTGCTCCAGTTCATGTTCCAATTCTTTGAGCTCCTTTGCCTGCATTGAGTTAACGTTTTGGAGCTTCAAAAGTTGAATTTCCGACTGAAAGTGGGATAATTGTTTATTATTTAATTATTCCTTATATGGAAAATAGTGATTTTCTCGCCCACCTTGGTAATCTCTGCCAGATTCTCGATGCACTTGCTGCAGTTATCGGAGACTTCTTTGGCCGCCGCAGTGGCTCCCTCTCGCTTCTCCCGTTCGCTCTTCTGTCGTAGGGTCTGTAAATCACGCTCGTGGCCGAGTTTTTCTGATTCCAGAAGCTTTTTCAGCTCCTGGGACTTCATCTCAGCCAGCTGCAAATTTCGCTGGGCAGTAGCCAATTGTTGACGTTGTTCCTGCAACTCCTTGAGCGTGTCCGATTCTCTTAGCTTTCTTAATTCGTAATCCAACGACTCCTTATCTGTGGCAATGTCAGCATATAGTTTCTTAAGTCGCTCCACCTCGCTCTGTGAATCCTTCAGAAGTATCTTGTGACGTTCCAGCTCCAAGCGCAGGTTGTCCGCAGTTGCTCGGGTTCGCAGCTGGCGATTATCCTGTGTGAGCTGCTCGTAATCTCGCTGTAGGCTTTCGTGCTGCTGCCTAAGTTGGTCCAGATCACTATCGACATTCCTGAGTTGCTCCTCGATCCGATGACGACTTTCCTTCAGTGCATCCCTCTCGGTTATTATGGTATCCAGCTGTGCCTGCAGACCTGATTCCTGTTGTGACTTGTGCTGTTGCTCTTCCAGCTCTTGCTGCATAGCTTTCACTTTGTTCTCCAGACGCATTTTGCCTTCCTTAAGCGTGGCTAGTTGAACTAGCGATTGGTTCTCTTGGTCGCGCAGCAAGCGCAGTTCCTGATTGCGCTCCTCCAGGTTTTTCTCCAGGCGCCGTACCTCCTCCCGCTTGTTCTTCAGATTGGCCAGCGCCCGATACAGCTCCTGCTTGATGTGGCTAACCCTATCCAGAGGATTCAGGGGTGTGCTGCCCACAAGGCGGGATCCACCCACTTGACTTAGCCTTCCAGTGGGCGATTCATCCGCCTGGTGTTGTTGAATAAGCGAGTCCATTAGGTCAAGCTCCGCCGTGGTTTCGTTAAGGCGGTCGTTGAGCAAACCGACCGTTTGTTCCAGGGAGGCAATGCGGGCTTTCAAGTCACTTATGCACTGCTGCTGGCGGTGGTTCTCCGCCTCCAAATCGGGCCGGCTGTTTATTTGGTTGCAGCGCATCTGGGCCATATCCAGAGCTTGACTCAGTTCGTTTATCTTGGCGGCTTTATCCAGCAGCATAGTTTCATGGCCGGACTGCAGAGCATTGTAGCGCGAGGTCATCTGCTCTAGTTCGTTCTGCTTGCGATCTAGCTGATCTTTGACTTGGTTGAGTTGCTGCTGAAAAAGATCGCACTGGGCTCGGTGGGAGTCTTCAATGTGCTTGACCCGCAATTCGGCGCTGCGCTCCTCCCGCTTGTGCTTGTCCTTCTGCACCATGTCGTACTTGCACTGGACGTCGGATAGCAGGGTTTTGGTGATCTCCAACTGGCCCACTAGTCGCGTGTTCTCCTCCTCCAACTGCTTCCTCTCCAACCGCATCTTCTCCAGATTGCTGTCCTTGTTGGAGCAACTCTCCTTAGTCTCCACCAGCAACTCGTGGGTGTTCCGCTTTTCTCGATGCGCCCGGTCAAGCTCAGCCTGCGTGATTGAGAGACGCTTCTGCAACTCATCCAGTTGCTTGTGCGCAGCATTGGCAATCTGGTTTACGTTCTGTAGTTCGTGGCTCTTGGATTCCAACATCATCTTAAGGCGGTACATCTCGGTTGCTTGCTGCGGATCCTCCTGCAGCGGTTTCTGGGGCGGATGCGTTGGGTAGTTGGGCAGAACAGCCGGTGGCTGTTCCGAGTGGTAAGTTGTCGTGGAGTCGATTGTGTTCTCATCATCTTCCAGGTCGTCGAAGGCGTTCACCAGCATATGTCCAATCTTGCGTAGAAATGGAATCGGTGACATTATTTACCAGGCTTTCCCAGATTACTCACCTCCTGCTCGCGTCTCTTTTGATCCTGCAGTGCCTCCTCCTCCTCCAGACGATCCAGTGAGGAGTTCACGTTCAGGGTGTCCGCCCCCTGGAAAAGACTCATACCCGGAGTGCTCATAGTCGGCTAGTACGACGCCGTAGTTTCGTAGCGATAAATTCAAATATTTTTCCGAGGAGGCGCTACTTTTGAGGCAACAATTTCTTCTTCTTTCAGCTTCTGTTGTGAAAATGTCCTAACGCCTTTATCGTTAACATAGTCACTGGTGCTGTTAGGCGCAAGCAACGTCTCTGTAAAGAAGGCGTAAAAATTTACTGTAAAGTATAAATGTTTGCCGTCTACTACAACTGTGCAGGGCAGTACACGTAGTGACGAATCGCACTAGGAGAGGTCTTATCGAGTAATACACCAATACCAAGGTATTGCAACAACTAAAAGGACATACAAAGCTTTAGAAAATCAATTGGTTCAGTTTAAGGAAGTTGGAAAAGCAAACAACTCAAAAAAATTTGAGCTGCTCTGGCCACCAGTTTAAAAATTATAAGATACAATAGTAATACAAGTTATAATTTGTATACCCGCTCGCTCACAAGCCGCCCAAACCTGTGGCGCCCACAAGTTGCATGCTAGAAAACAAATTTTAACCGGAATGTAATAGTCTCGTTTAATACCTATCGATTGACCCAAGCATATGTTGAGATAGCGGGTAGGTGGCGCATTACAATCTTTCTTTGCTGCCTTCATGTCTCCATCTCCCTTTGGCTCAGTCGAGGTACTCGATTATAGCGTTCTTCCTTGTTTTAACTTGATTAGGAGATCAACGATTTCCTTTTAAATGTGAAATTTTATAGCTCTTGAGATTCTTCAAATTATGACATATGTACCAAACGTTGTTTAAAAAGTCACATTCGAAAGTTATTAATCAACACAACTATGGCAAAACTAAAGTTGATTTGAATTAAGTTTATTTGAAAAGTGCGCATCACCAATTTTGTAGAGAAAAGGTCTTTATAATGTTTTTGGGCAAAAGTGTTCCCTAAATATTTGTTCCACATTTTCGTCACATCAGGATCAATAACCGAGTCGAACTAGCCATATCCGTTCGTATGAACGCAAAGATCTCGGAAACTGTAAAAGCTACACCCAGAAACAGTAGTTCTATTTTTTCTGTAACGCATGACCTAAACATTTTTAAATAGACTAAAATTTACACTTATCCACATTCACTATAAAAAACAATTCAAATAAATGAAATGTATTAATATTATTTTTTCAAAATAGCTCATTTTTAGGTCATCAATTAACAATATATTATCATATATGTATGACCTAAAATATTTAATTTCGTAATACAATTTTATGGTTCTTTATTATCTAATTTTTAGTTATTGTACGGTCTTGATTCGTTTTTGGTTAATTTCTAAAATGTTAGGCAATTTTGACACTTTTTAGGTAGTTTTTTTCCGAGTGTACAAATTTGGGGTTGGCATGGAGATTTTAGAGGATCTCGCGCAGCCCTAGCTTATTTCAGCAGGGTGCCAAGCCCACTCTAACGTCCTGAACCGAACAAAACGCAAAAATCTATTTAAAGCCCACATTTTTGAAGATATTGTAAAAGTGTAAACTGCTATTAATTTTATTGATTAATACCTATCTTAATGCCGAGAATCGTACCAATCCCATTGTTACTTTGCAAGTTATGACTAAGTTAAGCAGGCTTTGACCTGGTCTGTAGTACCGCTACCGTCATGTGACATGTGTGGTGTGTGCTGCGATAATAGATTTTTTTATATTTTAAATTTAAACAGAGCTATAGATCTAAAAGTTGACATACTAGTGTCTATAAATCCAATAAATGCTTCAGCCGAGTGCCGAGTGCGTCCCAAAACCCGCAAAACTTGTCAATATATAATGGCTTAATTGTTAGTTAATAAGTTTAATTAGTTAGCTGAGTAACAAGTATGTGATGGTCAATCCAATCGACTAAGCCGTTCTCTCTTGTTAAAATATGGTGTTATATTAAAAATAAAACTCAAGTATATTGTTTCATTTGTGTAATAAAAGTTATAATTAATGTTATCGTTAAAAGTCCTTGTTGCAATGCAAAAACAACAGCATCATATGTTCTTTTTCAATTTTTTTCATTTTTATTAATTTTATACAGACTGTCCATTCATAAACGCACTTATATTGGGACATTTATCTAATTTCTCGGCATCTATTTGGAAAACCTTGGACAAACGTTTCCAACTTTGCGCATCAAAGTAGTAGAAGGTGCCGCGCTCTTTTGTACCATTTTTTTCATATTGATCAATGCCAGGAATTCGAGTTATCCATATTTTCTCCTCCACATGATACCGCCACTCGCGACTATGCCTACAAAAGAAAATCAAAGTTTTAGTACAAATCCTTTAAGAGATTGTGTCGGAAGAGCTTACAACTCAGCAGCTGCCATTAATTGCATCATATCGCCGATGTTCGTGTAGAAAAGGAAAAAGAGCAGGTCTTCTTGCAGCTTTTTCAGTACCGGCGCAGTAAGTTTGTCTCTTATCGCGAAGTTAATCAGATATTCGGGTGGCACGTTGAACTCAACGTCTTGTGCTCTGAAAAACCCAAGTTATGGTGATAAAAACAATTAATATTGTGTGAAGAGTAATAACAATAAATAATTAAGACCCGATAATTCTTTTTTCCAGTTCAATGTTTAATTAAAACTAAAATAAGTGTTAATTATTTTATATTTTAAAAATAACATCGGGGAGCCATATGAATTATTTAAAACTTTATTTATGAAATTAATTTTAATATTAGCAAAAAATTAGCTCACCTGCAGGGCTGTGCGACGAACGGGCCAGCGAATGTTGTATGCAAGCTCTCCTGCGAATTCAGATTCAGGCCCAAGCCCGTGAGATCCGTGCCCAAGGAGAGAGTCACCAAGTTGGGATCCGTTTCTGCAGCCCGAATGAACGTTAGCAGGCCAACCATGCCGAACTGGTTGTTCACCATGGTCGCTGGTATGTTTGTGACCTTGCCTGATAATAGAAAAATGTTTAGTATTAGGTATACAACTTGTACAACTCATTTCACACACAAAACCATGAAAGCGGGTTTACATTTTTTAATGGAGCTTTGAAAACCATACAATTTTAAACAAATCTTTCAATAGTTAAATTTTTGGCCATGCGATACCCAAGAAAATTAAATTAATAACACAGTTTTACTTTATAATATCGGCACTCACCATCTGGCGAAGTTTGCACGCCGCTCTTCACAAGTTTATCGTTGCTGGAATTATCGTTCAGATGCTCGCTGCCCGCTCCGCTCCCGGAGTTGCCGCTTCCACTGCCCAGACCGCCGCCCACGCCCATCATGGCATTGCTGTTGGGTACACTGTTGACGCCGCCAATGCCGCTGTTGCTGCCCACCAGTCCCACGTGCGACCCGCCGACAACTCCGCTGGCTGCATTGCCGCCGACTCCTCCGCCTCCTGAACTACCGGCTCCTCCGCCTACTACCACGCCCCCTAGGCCACTACCCACAGCTCCGAGACCATTGCCGCCTACAACGCCGACGTTGGTGCCGCTACTACAGCTCCCTGATCCGCTGACCACTATCGAGTTCATCGGCTTTTCCGTGCCGTCCAAGTGGTTCTCTGTGGAGGCACCGCCGGAGCCTCCTGCTCCGCCGCCACTCCCCACCGCGTTCGTTGTGCCGTCCGAGTTCTGGGTACCCGGTAACGCAGGGAAGTCCTCGTTTGACATCGTGAACTCCGATTGCTCTGACGTCGGTTGCTTCACCATGCCAACTGAAATCGGAAAGAGGAGCGAGCAGGTCGCCAGGGGAAATGAGTGAAGCGAAGGAATGACTTATAAAAGCAGATGAAACTCATACACACTACAAATGGTTTGTCTAACTTAAGTAGCCGCTCAAAAAAGAACACCTTAACCAAATTTAGGCAAACAAACCCAAACAGCTTTTCACATCTAAAAATATAAGTGGTAATATTTATGTAGGTATGTTAATAACACCCATCATCCACACTCCCAATTAATTTTACCAGTATAAGTATACGTTTTTTTACTTTTAGGACATATCTTACATGTTTTGTTAATCTTTTTTTGCGCGATGAGAGGTCATCACAGATACCAAAACAATATACATTTTAAAAGAATTGAACGTGCTGATTATAATTGTTCGCTTTTTTGTTCTTTCTTAGCTTGATTAACACAAAAAAATATTTACTATTTAAGGGTTTGTATAATCTTTTGAGAAAATTTGATATAAACAATGGGAGAAACGGCCACGGAAAATCATGATACTATTAACATATAAGAATTATATTAAACTTAAAAATTGGTTAATTCTTTTTCGAGCGTTTGCCACACCAACACCGTTACCCGAGATTAGTCACAAGTACCGCATAGCATAGATATGTGGGCCCAAAAAACGAATCACATGACACGACGTACATAAGTTCTTAATCGTAATTGTAAACAGAAATAAATAAAAAGAAGTGGATTTTGATTTGAACTCACAAGAGGTAAAGAAATTACCATAGGGTTTGCTGCCCGGCGGCTGGAGCGGATTCGATTGGGGCAGTGTCTGGTCGTTCTGGCCGCGCGCATTCGTCAGCGAGGGGAACTCCGTGGGATCGAGCAGGGCTGGCGTGGAGGCATCACTCCCGCCGCCGCCGCCGAACACGTGGAAGTTGTTCAAAGGACCGCCACCGCCTCCGCCCGTTCCGTAGCCGCCGCGACCCGTCTGCATGAAGTTGCCCATGTTCGACTGTGGAAAGGAATTGTTTTAGCCAGGTCTAAAGTTATAAGTCGAAAGGATGGTCTAACTTGTCCAACTCAAACCTTAAAACAATAAAAATATTTACATTTCTAAAAAAAACTTTGAAAAATAAAAAAATATATGCGATTGAGATCTTTCTGACTACCGGTGTAGGACTGTTTTAAAACCTTAGAGGATTATGGAGTTTTCTTTAGCTTTTTCAGGTTTATTTTATTTTAAAAGGGATTTTTAAATTATTATAATCTGTGCTGGTATAAAATTAAAGTAATAATATTTGAAGTTTAGGCTTTTCATAGTACAGTTATATTAGCGTTCACAATAAAAACTTTAAAAGTTTGAATAGATTTCATAAAATTTCTAACCAAGAAAATGTTAAATTGTGGTCGAATATAATTGAAAATTTAGATTTTTAATAAGCCATATGTTATGCCTGAAGATAATGTAATGTATGAAGATATCTCGAAAAATGGTAGGAACAAGCTTATCCAACAAGTATTAAACAACACTTTAAGATTTGGGGATGTTTACAATTTTCTGAGTTATAAAAGGCTGGACTTGGACAAGTTCGATCTGGAGAAGATGAATTTTATTCAGTGCTGCTCACCATGGGGCCACTGCCCAATCCCTGCATGGCACGCCGTTCCACAAACTGCCGCTGGCCGAAGAGGTTGGCATTCCGATTGCCGCTCGAGATGGCGGGTCCGCCGACCGAGAGCTGGGCATTCCGGTTCGGCGACAGTTGGGGCTGCTGCTGCTGTTGTTGCTGCTGTGGCGCCTGTCCGTAGTTCGCCGCTCCTGGATAGGAGTTGGCAAAGTCTGTGGGCCACAAATGTGAGTGGGAGCTCTTACAACCTCTGTGCTAGCACGTGCTTACCGGTTTGGAACATGCCCGACGTGGGCGTCACATGGCCAGCCAGGGAGCTACCACCGAATCCTCCAGTTGTCCGGCCAGCTAACGCCGCGTTCGCTATACTTCTCGGGGGTTGTTGAAAATTTAAATTCGCCATAATCTGCAAGGAAGGGGTTGTCGATTAAAAGGTTGTTGCTTTGCTTGTGTCAGCCCATAGGGCATTCTTATCGTTGTATGAATAACACCCATAAACAAAAAACGAGTAACACCATAACTGGGTCGCGCTTTTTCATGATTATAAAGTGATTTTGAAGTGTTAGGGGTTTTCCTATTGGCCACATCCCAATATAATAGTTATAGTAATAGAAGTACTAATAGAAATAAACGTAAGCAACTGTCGTAACCCCACGCACTAAGTACGTATAAGCCAACCTAAGGCATTGCTCAGAAAACGTCTGCGCCGTAATCAAAAAACGTCGGCTGTCAAAAGGCTGAACCGGGAAAATTGTTCGTTCATAAACATGAGTTTTTATTCCAAGTGACTCAGTGGAGGGGGACTATAGTGATAACAAATCGGCTCCCCGCAGATAATTGTCGCACTGTAAATGCGAACATATGCGTGTTAAACAAATAAACAAACAAACTTGCTGGTGAGGAGCCTTGGGTCCAAGCCAAGCATCGCTAGTCGTGAGTGTGTGTACGGCGTAACTCCGACTCGAAGGGGATGCCAAAAAGGGTTACCAACATGATGTACATTGCTATAAACAAATTCGCCCTCGCCACTCGATTCCGTTAAATGGCCGGCGCATCAGCTGTCGATTGGCGAATTCGGACAGCAAACAAAGCAAAAGGAGAGATGGAGAAGTAAGTGGCAAAGGATGAGGAGGAGGAACAGAGGCGCAATTATTGCCGTTCCTCTTTGGCGTGGGCACACATGCACAGGCACAGGCCGTGTGGATAAGATGGAGACGAAGACAATGGCAGTGGTGTGGGTGATAAAAACCAGAATGACTGGCAGCAGGATGCGAGGGAGAAGGAGTGGGACGGGGCGAGGGCAAAAGGATACGCCTGCACTTGTCGCACGATCAATTATGCAGGTAGTGGTGAAGCAGTGCGGCAAAGTGCAAAAAGGTGTACAGTAAATATTGTGTTTCGGGATAACCCATTAAAGTTCTTGAAGCTGTTGAATCTACATTACCACTTCCCATCTTTCTACTGTGTGGTACAATTTAAGGTTTGAGAGAAGGTGAAGTCCCAACCTATTTAATCAAACTGGATTTCATAATTTTGTGTTGCGAATTATTGTGTTAAACTTTCTTAGATAAGTAACTAAGTCAAGTAAGTAAGTAACTCATCATGTTTCCCGATTCATCATATGTAAATACCTGGATTTAGACAAGTTAACCTGTTCTATTGCTTGACAAGAAAACTGAAATGTTTAATTTAATGTATAAATGTTTGTGTATTTAAAATCATTGACTGAGTATCATCCCAAAAAACAACCTAAAAGGTGTTGAAGATATCTGTAACATAGGTTTGTTCAGTTGTTATCTTCAGTTCCTAATTGATTGTTCGTAAACGGTTTATCTTATCAGAAGTCCACTGTAATCCAGAGCTCGCCACACACATCTGCAGCCGTTCACGCAGGATTTTACGCCACCTTCCTCTTCAGCTGAACTTATCTTCCCGGTGCTTTAATTTACCAAGAGGTAACCAAACCCAGCCATCAATTTATCTGGCTAGCTGAGCCGATTGCCGTTTTACCTGCCCTGCGCATGTAACTTTATCAGCTGACCCAGCGGTCGCTTTGCAACACTGGCGCTCGCGCTTACAACAAAAACACTGGCTAGCGGAAACTTTCGGGCCAAGTAAACCGAACAAAGTAACCTTGGGCGGCGGGGCGAAAAAGAGCGGAAAGTTGGAGCTGCGCAACTTACCTAAATTAACGTTAGACGATACTGCCGCTTCTTGCACTTCCACTGTTAACGCTCGCTTTCCACTCTGTCCAGCAACAACAACATACACTGATCGGATCGTTCTCACCGCATTTAACATTCCAAAGCGGCCGGCGGGACGAGGACGTGGGAGTCGTTGTCCTGGCGCCGTAATTGCGACGGATCACCGAATCAGCCAGTCAGCAAGGATGTCTGCTTATGCTAATTCCCACTGGGCAGCCGTTGGTTAGCTGTAGTCGCTCGTTCTCTCTCGCACTCACTCGCTGGAAGGCTAACTGGCTGGCAGGCTGGAAGGACGCAACGGGAATGGGAAGCGGGAACTGGAACCGTAGCGGGAGCGAGGTTAGTTAGTACTTTTCCGCGCCGTGTCGTCCCTAAATAAATGGCATATATATCGCTGTGCGTGTGTGTATATATGCCTCGTCTGTATGCAGCGTGGTCTTCGTGCCAGAGAGAGAGAGTCGAAGAGAGGGAGTACCGAAGGATGTTGATGCCTGGCTGAGGCTGAAAGTTTTCCGTTTTTTCTGCGCCGCTCTTGCGACCACTTTTATTTCACGCTTATGCAAATGTCGCGCACGTTACACTCGGATTGGCCAATGGCTTTGGGTTTTTGGTAGTGTTTTCCTTTTTGTATTTTATTTGTAAGTAAATAATTGCTCGCTATTGCGCTGTTGTCTCTGCTTCTTTCTTCACTGCTGCACAAGCACTGTGTCTGTGACCCTGTGTGTGTGTTTGTGTGTGAGTCTGTCTTTGTTTTCTCAGTTCATTGAAATTTCACCCGAAGCAGCGAATTGGGCAAATTCTCCGCTCGATTTGCGTATCTTTTACGCCACCGGCCCGAAAATGCACTCGAACTTCGTGGAGCCGGGTCTTTACGATCCACTATCGAGGGGCAGTAAACAATTATTTAGCGCCCGAAATGGCTTTAAATTGTACACAAAAAATGTTCCGCAAAAAAACTTTGTGGCTGTCACGAATACAAACACACAGGAATTAGGGATGTAAAAATTTGCTATCGATGCAGCGCTGCCATCGATAGTTGGCAATTTTTGAATAGACGGTTGCGTGGCCATTGGAGACTATGTAGGCACTCTTTCCAGTAAGTTTCTGGCCTTACTTCAGTTCTTTTGTTTTATTATTAACGTTTTCTTTCTATTTGTGGCTAATCAAATAGTTGTTTACATTTAATCGATAGTCCTAATCGGCTATCGTGTTGCCATCTGGTCAGACCGTGCAGATGCCTCCTAGCTTGTTTTAGTTATCGATTAGTCTGACAGTGCCAAGGCCTTCCAAACTCAACTTTATTGCCCGGCCGCGAATTACCTTTATTTCCGATTTTTCCATATTTTGATTGGGTTTTCTTGACAATATGGGTGACCAAAACTCTGACGATGACAGTGGTGAGTGGCTTGTGATTTCCGTGTCCTGAGAAATTTGTATTTATAGTGTTTCCGCAGGTTCCTCCGGTTCCAGTCGCAGTGGCAGCCGCAGTGTCACGCCGCAAGGAGGCAGTGCGCCCGGGTAAATTTTGAGACCTTCTTAAGCAGCCTTTAGAATGTGCTGACTGTTCCGCCTATTTTTTCAGGTCGCCCCGTAGCCGTAAGTCTGGGAGTGGCAGCCGCAGTGTCACGCCGCAAGGAGGCAGTGCACCCGGGTAAATTACGAGATCTTAAGCAGCCTTTGGCGTGTGCTGACTGATCCGCCTATGTTTTTCAGGTCCCCTCGCAGCCGAAAGTCGGGCAGTGGCAGTCGCAGTGTCACACCGCAAGGAGGCAGTGCACCCGGGTAAATTTCGAGACCTTCTTAAGCAGCCACTGGAGTGTGCTGACCGATATGCCTATGTTTTTCAGATCCCCTCGCAGCCCCAAGTCGGGCAGTGGCAGCGACCGATCCCGCTCGGGCTCCAGATCATCCAGATCACCTTCCCCTCAAAGTCAGAAGTCGGGATCGCCTCAGAGTCGTAGATCAGGCTCCGCTCATAGTCGTAGATCAGGCTCCGCTCATAGTCGCAGATCAGGATCCGTTCATAGTCGCAGATCCGGCACCCCTCAAAGTCACAAGTCTGGATCGCCCCAAAGCCGTCGGTCGGGCTCCCGACAAAGTCGTAGATCAGGATCTCCTCGCAGCCAAAGATCCGGATCCGCTCGCAGTCGCAAATCCGGCTCGGCACATAGCGCTAGATCTCGATCCCGCTCCCGCAGTGGCACACACAAGGGCAGTGGCAACGAGGAATCCCGCTCCAATTCGCCCAACCTGCAGATTGACGATGAGCGTGCCAACTCCAAGAGCGGCAGTCGTAGCAGAAGTAGGAGCAGGAGTGGCAGTCGCACTTCCAGGTCGCGCTCCAAGACGGGCACGCCTTCACCCGCCAGAAGCCGCAGCCGCAGTGGATCTGGTTCCGGCAGCGACATTGGCGTGCCCAAGAAAAAGGCACGCAAGGCCAGTGGCTCGGATCAGGAGAAGCACAAGAGCGGAAGCGATAGCGAAATGGAGGAATCGCCCACCAAGGCGAAGAAGTCGCGGCTGATCGACTCAGACAGCGAGTCCGATCAGGAGGAGGTGAGGCGATATGAATTTAATTATATATTTGTACACTGTAGGCTTACTTATAAAAATTAAGCTACAGGAATGGATGACAGCCATAGCTGCTGTGGCTTTCGGCTGATTGTATTCTCATATCTTAGGGTTTAAATTTAACTTACAATTACCAAAAAACTTTTAATAAGGATATAATTTTTTGGGCGAGTAACATAGAAATCTCAAGTTAAATATTTGATATTAGAAAGTAATTTTAGATTTGTCTTCTTGTAGTCTTATAAGTGATTCAGAATGTTGGATTTTTTAAAAATGTAAGAAGGACAAGTATGTTTTTAGGATTGGGATTAGTTAAGAGAGAGGGATGAGATCGGAGTTTGGGGTTTTTGGTCTAATGTTGTGGATGGATGGGCATGCGTTCAAAATATGTACAATTGATGTATCCGGTATATTACAGAATTTGCATTGGTTCGATGAAGGTTGATCCAATCTATTTGCATGGGTCAGTCTGGTGTGCCCAAGGCGTAACCGTAAAAGTTTGGTTTGTTCAATTCTGGATAGTTTTGTAAAGGCAGGGGTTTTGGGTAATGGAGGTTTTATTAATCATGTGTGGAACATAATTAAGCAGTGTTGATTTGTTGATTTATGTTTGCCTTTTATTTTTGGCAAGCTATTAACTATGAGACGTCGAGTTTTGGAAATAAGATATGTAGAGTTTTCTATGTTTCTTTTTGTCTTTTACTACTGACAGGGAATCAGTCCAAATGCATGTTTTCACTCTGATTTTTAGACCTATCTCAATTGCGTCAAGAATGGCTGTGGCTTCGGCTGCGTACACTCAAGACTAGCCAATTATTTCTTTAGATAAAGATCCGTCCGTGTATATTGGTGTTGGTTCTTTAATTTGTTTTTAGTTTCTAAATGTCTTTTAAAAATATTTCCTTAGGGGTAATTGCTTTTCCTTTTTTTTAAGGTTTGGAGGATTTAATTATTTATTTAAGTTGTTCATGTAAAAAAAGTACATTAGCTATTTGTGAACTTGTTCACCCAGACTAATCATCCAAATCTTGCAGGCAAAGAAAGCCCCTGCCGCAGCTGACATCTTCGGAGATGCCGACGATATTAGTGACGATGAGGAGGAGGCTGGACCATCCCAGGCTAAGTCCCCCACCCGCTCCAAGAGTCGCAGTCGAAGCAGGTCTCGATCCCGCAGTCGTTCGATGAGCCGCTCGCGTTCCCGCTCAAGGTCGCGATCTCGGGATAGAGTCGAGTCTCAGGTGGAGCAGGCGCCCAAGGAAGATGAGCCTGAACCGTTGCCCGAGACCCGAATCGACGTGGAGATTCCTCGCATCTCAGCGGATCTTGGAAAAGAGCAACACTTCATTAAACTGCCCAACTTCTTGTCGGTGGTCACTCATCCTTTTGACCCGGAGACCTACGAAGATGAGATAGATGAGGAGGAAACCATGGACGAGGAGGGAAGGCAGCGCATCAAGCTCAAGGTGAGCAACACTATTCGCTGGCGTGAATTCATGGACAACAAGGGCGACATGGTGCGAGAGTCGAATGCGCGATTCGTGCGCTGGTCCGACGGGAGCATGTCCCTTCACTTGGGCAACGAGATCTTCGACGCTTACAGACAGCCGCTACTGGGAGACCATAACCATCTGTTCATCCGCCAGGGAACTGGTCTGCAGGGCCAGTCGGTGTTCAGGACCAAGCTCACCTTCCGTCCACATTCCACGGAGTCGTTCACGCACAAGAAGATGACCATGTCATTGGCCGATCGTTCCAGCAAGACCAGCGGCATTAAGATCCTGACACAGGTGGGCAAGGACCCCACTACGGACAGGCGTGGGCAGCTCAAGGAGGAGGAGGCCAAGTTGCGCCAGGCGATGCGCAACCAACACAAAGCGCAGCCCAAGAAGAAGAAATCGGGGGCAGGCGAACCGCTAATCGGAGGCGGCACCTCATCGTACCAGCACGACGACGGCAGCGATGATGAAAATGCCATAAGTTTGAGCGCCATAAAGAACCGATACAAGAAGGGCTCCGGTGGTGGCCCGGCGGAGGTGAAGGCATCCACGATCTACTCCTCGGATGAGGACGAAGGCTCCGACTTCGAGGCGCGGCGCAGCAAGAAGGTGGACAAGGCCAAGGCCAGCAAGGCACTGCGCGACTCCGACAGCGAATCCGATGCTGGCAGCGCCAAGAGCGGCAAGAGTGACAAGAGCGGTGGAGGAGGCAGCGGCAGCGGAAGCGATAACGAGGGCAGCCAGAAGAGCGGCGGTGGCAGCAGCAAGTCGGGCAGTGGAAGCGGTAGTGGCAGTGGCTCCGGCAGCGGATCGGGAAGCGACAACGATGATTAGGTTGGTCCAGTTCGTTTGTGTTCCTTGAGTCGACCAATAAAAGATATTTACAATGTTTACTTGCTGACTTCTTATGATGGGTTCCAAGAACATTGTAGACCTTGGTTGGCTTTAACATCTCAGGAGTGTTAAGACTTCTTGTGCATCGCTTAGCTGCAAGTCTCAAAAATTAAAACAATACAATTGCCCCAAAAAATACGACATTTTAGGAACCCTTTTTTTTGTGGCGATTTTCAGAAACTACTCTTTATTCTTGTCCACAAATTGCATAAAATTTGTCAAACTACATTTACTCTCTCGTATTTAAATCAGTCAAATTGGAAACGAACGAAAATGGTATTTCTTCTTTTTACGATTTTAATTTGTTGTCCTGTGTTTTATGCCCTAACAATTGTCAATTGATAGGTTGCATGCAATTTGCACATATTTCCTCAGATTTTTATTTACCAATTTTCGGCACCTTGTTTCTGCAATCATTAGGGAACAAAGTTAATTGGGCTCATGCCTGCAAATTAATTAAATTCATTTTTATAAAGTAACAAACTTTTTGCCGCGAGTCTGTACGTGTTTAAGGAACTGTTCTTAAAAGTGGTAGGAAAGATTGAAACACCATTTTGTCTCCATAAAATTGTATACACAATGGAAATAATAAAAAAAAGTTGACAATTTTTTTTTTAACTCCGTGGATTTAACGCTTCTTAAACTTATGCTATCTTTTTTTGCTTTTTTTCCCCGTTTCCCTTCGCCCCATTTTAACGTAATTGTCTGTTAACAAATAAGTAAGAATCATTTTTATATTCTAATAAGGACAAACATTTTATTTTAACGAAACGACCTTGAAGTTGGTGGCAAGTCCGTTAGGAATTTTTCACTTATACGCCAAGAGACCTTAAATCCGAGTATGCATTATTTATTAGCCCGAAATCATCGCCCCAGATGGCCCAATTGTGTTTGGTCGATTAGAGCCAGTAGCAAAAAGCACTTAGGCTGTGCAATTAGCTGTCCGTTGAACCGTGATGCCGGGAGATAATTTCCAAAGTGCCCACTGATGTTTGCCATAAAAACACACGATATATTTACGGGTTGCTGCTTTTAAATATATATTTCCATAAATTATTGCTTAAATATTTGTTTATACAATTAGACTATATGCTTAAAACCCAACGCATGTTTAAACTCTTTTCTCTGTTATCTACAACGGCATCTGATTTTACAAATATATATTTCAGCTTTTGATGTGGGGTTCTAGAAAGGTACTCGTCAATCTATGCTTGAATTGTCGCTTGCCTAAAACCATATATTCCAGTCTGCTGGGATCTAATCCTATTAAGAGGTTCACAAGTATTCGAATGGGAAAATATCAATAGTGTTCTTAAACGTATTACTTTGTGTGTTGAATATGATTGTGCGACAGTTTTCCGCCTACAGTTAATAACGTCGTGTAAATGCTAAATCAGCTTTTGTAAAAAAGGTTCGCTAGTTGCACCATTTCAGCCAAATATCATAGGTCAGACTATTTTTTGTTGGTTGTGCAACTGATTATAAGGCAGTTTTCGTAGGAGTACGTAAATGAAATGTGCTTTGGAAATGTAAATTATTATGGATAGGAACTGAACTGGTAGTTCCCTCTTGATATTTTTGGCATTAAGTACATCCAAAAAATGTTACGTAATGTTCCAACTGACTCTGTATACATATATCGTTATGGGCTTAACTAATGGTTTTAGGTGATTTTAGTCGCTTGGCACTCTTTTTGCGATTTTTCATTTAGCTAATACTCACAAAAAGCAAATCAGCCCAAAATCTCTGTACGTGGACAGCTGGGGCCCGCGGATGTAAGCCGGAATGGAATCCATTGTCGCGTACCGTCGTCTGGTTTTTATCTGGAACCTAATTCAAATGTGCCCTCCTCCGCACCTCCTCGTGGCTTCCAGCTTTGTGCACCATTCAGCCCTCCCTCTCATTTCTGCCATCTTCGCCTGATAACACGCCACAACAAAGAATTGTAAAAAGTATTTATGCTGCTCCTCTCCTTTTCTGTAAAAAATTGCACGAAATGCATTTATAGCGGGGATACGCGAGGTGACTGGGGGCTTCCATCAGCAGGCCTGCGAATAAAGAGCGAAACCAAAAGAAACATGAGTCGAGGATTGCTTGTCAACCATTTAAGCGATGTACTAGACCGTGGCCAGCACACTGCTCAGCAGCTCCGTTGTCTCAATTAACTATAGTTATATATGTGGCTATCGGCGACAGGGGCGGGGCGGCGGTGATTGGGAAGGGGCCTTATCAGCCATCGGGGTCCCAGAAAACGAGCGCTCGGCATGCACATATGTATCTGTTGTGGTGGGGGCGGCGATTAGGTAGTAGGGGTAGATTAATTGAATTTAGCCAAAGTGGGGTGTGTTATTTGCCGTTCGATGGGAAGTTCGAGCACTGGGATTTGGGTTAAGCCCCTAATAAATGGATCTCTGATTTTCAAGGAGAACAAAACAAGTGTTCTCTTGGAAATTTATAGTCTACTCTTTAATTTTGCGAAAGAACTTCTATACATTCGATTTCCGTTCATCGTTTATAAAACTGGTGTTCAGCCTAGTTTTCTTTGTCCGCTTCACTTGAAGCCGTGAAATAAAAATAAATCGATTCTTGTGGTTCCCACTTTTAGATGAGCCTGTGCACTTAAGCTGATATCCCTAGGACTGGTCATCTGTTTTGAATATAACTGAATTACACATGCACATTTTTAGCCTCCACCCTGAACCTTGCGTCTCAAGATCTCAATATCTATGTAGGTGCTAAACGTCCAAAAGGTTCTTGGATTGCGACAATCGAGTCACGACGTGATTCGCACATTAAGAAAACCGCAAGGCGCGGGCCAAACAAAACAAATGACTCAACAAGCCAAAAGCCCCAAGAGCGCTTACAGTATGACTTCTGTAAGGCGAACCTCAAAGAGAACTTGTTAGTCAGAGGGAATCGATAGGGTTGAGTAAAATTATGTACTGTAGGCTGATGGTACTAATAAAGCTTGGATTTAGAGAAGCCATCCTGTGTGGGTCACCAATCGGCCGGCCCAGTCAACTCACATGCAGCGAGTGTATCGAGTTGGTCTCGTAGCCGCCCTTGCTCTGCATCTGGGTTGAGATCGCGTTGAGGCGGTTGGCCGACAGCTCCACGTCCGCCGACCCGATGTGGCCCGTGTGGACGAAGTTGGTGGGATTGCCGATCATGGACCGGTCGATGCGCAGGCGTTGGTGTGGGCGGCGGGAGGGGGAGCGCTGCTGCTGGAAGCAGCAGGAGAACCACTGCAGCCAGATCTCGCCGGTGCTGGCCATCTTCCCCTTGGCTCGCTGGCTGGACGGCGTTTCAGTCTTTTGGTAGTGCTGGCGATCAATCGTGAGGCTGCTGCTCCCAGCCAGGTTGACGACTCAGTTGGGCGTGGGCTACGCACCTCGGCTACTAGAATGGTCGAATGGGATGGGGTTTTGATTAGATGTATGTTTGTATGTTAATAAATAAAAGCACGTTTAACTTAGAGTAGATTTTAAGCTCTGAATGGCCACAGGTTCGCTTGGTTCAAAACACACATTTAGCTAGCTATTAAACTTTCATATTTTCCAAGAAAGAAGTCACAGTTGAATGTGTATAACAAGGTCCATAGAAACTACCGCCCTTCTCGTCTTAATGTCCAACTAAAAGTAGGTTATACATTCTACTTTAAGTTAACCTTGAGGACGCGCCTTTTTTGATAAATTTAACCCAGGTAATTGCTCAACGAAATTCATTCAGTCACAACCAATAACAGTTACGGAACCTAAAACATTTACATTGCTCCAGAAAGCCAGTGACGTACAGAGATGTGCGATTTATTCTACTGGTAAATAGTTGTGTGGGAGGTGTATCCGTATCTGCATGATGTTTGTCTGCTCTACTTGCTGCCCCACTTGCCACCTTGCTTTTCACTTGGCTACACACTCGCTAAGACAGATACAGATGCAGATGCGGACACCTTGGGCAAGCATCTATCCACAGATTCGAAACACAGAAACAGAACAACAGAATTATATGGCCCGAGGCGTTGCCTGGGAAGACGCAAAGTTGCGAAAGAATATAGCAAAAAAGAAACGAAAATCAACAATTAATTGGCACTTTTGTGTAATTAAGATTGAGAGAAAGACACAAAAGAAACAGATGAAATATCCAGAAAGAAGTCGGGTTGTCACTCACGATCTTCGAGGTTTGCAGGCACAACTAGTTCTGGAGAACATCTTGTTTGTTTCTTTTGTCTGGATACGTTTCCCCCGAAAAGTAATCTCCACCTCAACTGAATAAATACCGTAAGTCAGCGAATCATCGGTATTGATCAGCTGTTTTAGAGGACCTAATGCGAAAACAGATTTAAGCGTGACTTGTGTTAGCTTATCATAAATCTGTGTTGGCCATTGCTTATTAAAAAATAAATGTTCCTTTTTTGTAATAGGTTCAAGTATAGTATCCTTCAAAGATACTTCAAAGTGACAATTAATCGAGAAAACTTGGCACACTGGGTTTTAATAACTTACATTAAATTATGGAAAATTTCAAAATCGCTTTCATTACGTTTTCCTGTTGACCCTGAATACCATCATGTTATAAATCTCCGTCACAATTTGTTTTGAAAAATAAAAACTATCTATATTTCGGTACGGTACGACAAATAACTATTTGATACCTTTTCCTAACGGAATTCCAGTTTAAACTGTCGCCGATCTCATTAGATCACTGAGATGGTTATGTGGGTATGACAAGCGTTTTCCGCGCAATTTCCGCCGTTGGCCCGGCTTCTTCCAAACTTCTTGGGCTTTCTACGCGTGTTGCGCAGTCTCTCGGCTTCTTCTGGCCATTGGGCAATTAAAGCTGCTCAAGCGTCTTTAATGCGCAGTGAAAACAAAATGAAAGTGCCAGGCGGCAGGGCAGCGATGTGGAGTTGGAACGTGGAACATGGAGCTGGCGACGGTTGACGACTTGGACCCGGGGCTGAGCTGGAGCTGGAGGCCGGCTTATTGAAGCCAACATATCTGCACTTTCCGAGAGCGAACGTTAACGTTATTATCTCAAATCGCGCTACGACGCGTGTCACACAAGAGAAATAATACACTGGGAAAATTCAGTTCCACGTGAAAATAAGTTAAATTTAGACGAATTTTATACTTATCAATGAAAGGTAACATAACGCATAGTTCGCCTCTTAATAACACAACATTGTATTGCCTATTTAAAACCATTCAGCTCGGTAAAAGTTATTTTAAATTCAGAATGTTTTAACATAAAATGCAGGTAATCTATCATCATATCCTACTAATTTTCTTTCTGTGTAACAACAGCTTTGGCAACAACAACAGCCTAGCCGGGGCAATTGACGGAATGAGGGAATGACTGGAATGAATGAGCAACTGACGAGCGGCAAATGCGCTAAAGCGTTTCAATTTTCTGTGTCAAAAGGTTATTAAAGTGTGAGATGCCCAATAGATATGAATAGACCTACGACCAGAGAAATGCCTACACTGATACAAGGACTAATCAGTTTTATTAACAAACTATCCTAACTTTTACAGCTTACAAGAACAAGAGGAGGAAAGTTAAGCTCACAATTTTATATATTTCTACTTACTATTTATATTCTTTACATTACATTTACAATGTTACCCTCTTTTTGATGAAAAAAATAAATAACTTTAATATTTGTTTAATAAATTAATATAAAAAAAGTTTTCCCTTGACCATCTCAAATAAAATTAAAACTTTATTGAAATATTTAATATATTACCAAATTTTTCTAAGAAAACCCTGAATTTTTTCAGTGCTTAGATCATATAAATGAAGCAGCATGTATGCGAAAGGTACGCACGTTTTCCACTGACTTTTGTTTTCTCATTTATCTCAAACTGGGGCTGGAAATCAAGTGTTTATTAAGCTTGTCTGCCGGTTTATGTAAATAACATTTATGCACAAACAAGCATATAGCATTTATATGTATAAACAATGTGCATGTTTAGAAAACGAAAGCTAGACAACCGTTAATTATCCATCGAGTGACGTACTTATCCGGCGGGAAAGATTTTCGAGGGGGGACTGATAAAAATAAAATACAAGAAACCCCTGACAGACTGGGTGTGCGTAATTTGCCGTGTCTACTGCAAATTACTTTGCAATAATCATAAACAAATGGAATCCCAATGGTACTCGACTTTTTCGTCTGCTCTCGAAGTCGTTTATAAACATTTTTCGCTTTCTGTTCCTTTGCAGTTGCTGACATCATCGTCGACGGTGCCGCGATCGGGCGGGGTTATTGAATTTTAACAAAAAACCGAAAATGGGCGAGTTTGAGTAATTATAATTACATTTAAGGAGCTTAAAAAACCGTTGTTTTTTCAGATGGGCGAGATTTCAATTTCCAACCTTATGTCGGTTGAGATACTTTTTTGTTAAAAGGAATATAATTTAACATTATCAACTGAATAGGAGTACATATTACTATCAATGTATCTTATTGAAATTCATTTATTACTTGTACTTCTTGACTACTTTTTGAATCACCCAAATGCCATTAGTAAAATGAAAAATCTAAGCAAATATAGTATTTAACATCATATGTAATATGCCTTGATTTCTAATCTTAAAGAGTACTTATAATATCTAAAAGTCACATATGTAAATGAAGCTAAGTATTATTGAAGAAGAATATTAATGAGAGTGAAAATATATCACATTTTGCTATAACCACTTGAGTAACACATTAATGTAGTAATATATTTTAATATGAAAGGAGAACCTCTTCGAAAATTAAGCAATTTCATCAATACTCTGTCATAATAGCGGATTAGCGAGCCCATTACAGCGTCCTAAGTCCATCCAAAACTTGACCCAAAAACTCCCCCAAGTAAATAGACAGCAAACTGCTCGTTATTTGGCAAACCTCCGTCAATTCACACGCGCCAACGACATAAAATCTTTGGTAATTTCTCCCCGCACAGCGGAAATGAAGCGTATGCAAAGTGAATGAGCAGCGGGAGTGGGGAGCCCAAATCGAAATGATGTACCATCATGTTACGTCACTTTTGGGCACAACAAGCGACAAAGAAGGGGCTGGGCCCGGTTGAATGTCGGATGCACGACGTCGATGACAACATGCTTTGCATATGAAGAGAGCTCTCGCAGCCGGGGTTCAAGAAACCAATAAACGGGGTGTAAAAGTTAAATTTAAAAGAGCTCTCAATCGAATAGTTGGATTCGCAAGCATTGTGCTGGGCAGCAGTTCCATTGCTTGCTGGGTTTCTTTATTTACAACTTGCGGCTGGCTTGTTTCACAATAATCACTAAAGAGCACTCGTTGCACTCCACAATCACTTCGGGTGACTCATCGTCTCCGTCTCCGGGTCCATCGAACAGATACTGACCGCCGCACCGACAGTCGTACGCATAGCTCCACATTGTCGCCGGCCCTTTGTCTGCTTTAGATTCGGATTGGGACTCAGATTCTCGGGAGGGAGGTGCCGGTGCCTCGTCGTCTTCTTCGATTTCCACTTGTACCCGCTGCATTTCATCCAGCTCCACTGTGGCGTATATGTTGCTGTGGGCCCGGAATTTCGACTGCAGCAGTTCGGCATCGTAGTGTTTGCGCCTGATGGGATCTTTCAGTGTGTTCCACGCCGCGTTTATCGCGTTGAAGTCGCTGTTCTGGGCCTCCGATCCCGGATTTGGGTCATCGAGCTGTCGCAATTTGTCGGGATGACATTGTAGTATCAATTGTTTGTAGCTGCATTTGATCTCTTCGAAGCTGGCCGTGGAGGGCACATTCAGAAGTTCATAAAAGTCGGGCATCTGGAAAAGGGAAATCCGTGAAGTGGTTGTAGGAAAAACATTATTTTCTTGTACTTACTTTTAGTCTAAAGAGATTTTATCTAGCACTTTAACTTTTAGTGCCCCTTGATACACTTTATTTAGAAAGCTGAAGTTTAGTATTTAACAGGTAAATATTTTGTTTTTCGTTGTTTACTGGGATACGTTTAATACCTTTATCTGTCATTTAACACAATTTATTTGAAAAGATTTTAATTAAGTCAGTCAGTTGTATGCTAAGTACATTTATTGTGTTACTTTCAAGTAGTAAATGACGGCACTTGATTGGTACGTAGGTAAATTGGTATACGGTTTCGAGTTTAATCTTGGTTTTTCATGATTTAATTATGGTATTCAGTAGGTCTTATTAAGTGATCATAAAACACATTTTTATGTTACATTCCTGAGGAGGAAATTAATTAAAATATCATCTAATTCAGATCGTTTCAAATATATATCTTAATTATTATTTAGCACTGTTGTTACAATTCAAACCACATTAAATTCAGCTTTCTCCACGAAAGCAACTTATACTTTGTTGATTGTACAAATATCAAGCAAATAAAGTGCGTCTCTTAAGCGCAATTATTGTTAATTATTGTTTTCAGCAAAAAATGTGCGATCCTTATGCCTGGCGTTAACCAACACTGAAGGTTCTAATTCCCGAAAACAGCTGTTTGTTGTTTACATGGAAGGCGACGCTCGGCGCAATGGACTTAATAACAGTTAATTTAATCAATATAAAAACGGCACCCCCATCTCACGCACACAGGCACACCCCCACAAAGCAGACAGCCTTTGTTGTTGGAAAAACGGAAATGTCCCCAAGAAGGAGTGTTTGTGTATGCGTGAGTTTTGTGTTGCTAGGTGGTGATAAACATTTATTTCCTCACAAATCAGCGCTGCAAGTGCGTTGCATGTTCGCCGATCATAAGTCCAGTCCGCAGACCCCCGTAAAAAAGAAAAGTCGGACATATTGTCAAAAGTCAAGCCCCAATTGCACTTGGAGAGCCGGAAAACAAGGTCAACAAACTGGTTCGGCGGCAGCAGCCAAAAAAATATATATATGTAAACTCGAAAAGCGAATGTAGCATCGCACACGTTGACCCAATTTCGAAATTAGCGAAAAAGGAAAGGGGCGCACAACTTGCCCCAAGACAGGAACTTATAGCTAATTAATAGCAGACCCAGACATCGAACAGCGGCATCGCATCTAATTTAGAACGCACGCACATACGATTTTCATGGGTGCCGCATGCAACTCGAAACTTGCCTTATAAGGTGGTGACGGCTTTTCCTGCTCACAGGTCACGTGTGGAAAACTTTTGTTGCTCCGCCGATTTGTTTATTAATTGGATCGGGTTCTTTTTGGGGAGAAGAAAACTCACCACCCACTCACTTTTCAGAACGGTTTTCAGTCTCTTGGGTCTAGCCCTTTTTTAAACTAGATAAGCACGCGCCTTGCACTCGCCCGCAACCAACAGGAGTCGTCATGTAATGATGTATTTAATTGGCATTTAATTCGCGTTTATTCACGGAGTTCGCAGTGTTTACAGCGCGTTTATCGTTTGCAGCAGGTAGGTCGAAAGTTTTTGAAGTATTGATCAGTGTGACCGCTCGTGAAACCGTTTAAAATACCACTATGCCTTGAAATAAATACCACTATGCACAGTTTCAAGAAATACCATTTACATCCCAATAAATTCAAAAATGAATAAGGATGTTCCTTAGACTTTTGAATGGAAATACCTAGCTGTTACAAAATTAATGAGGGTTTAGTACCCTCCTTTTATTGCTTGTTTATTATTATTATTATTATATTATTTTCTGTTAGAAATTTTGTGTGCAATTTCAGTTCCTCAATAACTTCTGAGTTGGACTTAAAGATTAATTAAGATTTTATAGATGGTCTATACTTTTGTCACAGTTTGACCCTGGAATTTATAAATGCAGATGTGTATTTTTTTTGTGTACCTATTTTTCTAAAATCATTTTTGTGTATAATTGCAAACAAGGTAAGATATTACTATCATTACTTTTAAAAATGTAACTTCAATAAAAGAATAACATTCCTTTCGAAAAGTAATATAAAAAAATCAGAAGCAATAACGGAACTTATATTGTATTTTGTAGGTGATGGAAGACAAGTTTATAAGGAACTATTACTCAAGAGCAGCTAAATATTAAGGAAAAGTGGAAACGGTCCGTGGACATTTCAAGAGTTTGCTTTTGGGCTCTTTTCGTTATTATACCCGTTACTTTTAGAGTAAAAGGGTATTTTATCCGTTGATAAGATCTCTGAATCTATAATAGCACGAAAGTTGGGACTAGAAATGCAGATTAAGCAACTTATAGCACAGCGCATATATAGCAGGAACAAGGTCAGTTACGTCACATTCAGTAGATTAAAAAATGTAAAGAAATATTTTGAAGTTGGTGAAGAGAATAACGAGTTTATCACAGATAAGGCACTTCTTGTTTTTAGATTTATTTGTTTGGAATATATTTAGTACATTAAACTTATTTATACATTTTTATCATATTGTCCACCTTCAACCGGCATTTTATTTATGCTTTTGGCCTTATTAGCATTTTGCACGATTTAAGAGAGTACATTTTTCCCATATTCCAACGACCCCACCAAATTCCATTCCATTCACTCAACTCCATTTTACAGTCGTAGAAGTTTCCGTTCAAATTACTGCAAATGATCCAATTATTAAATATAATCGAGTTAGCAATTGTATTAATTAAGTCAAGTTAAAATCATCTAAAAGACATTGTGGCCTAAAATAAATAACAATAATCAAAACGATTGTTTACAACTTGTTCCTTCTAAAATATGTTTTTATAATGTAAGAATTTCTTGCTTAGAAATAATTTATCCAATTAAGAGATATTTTTTCGGTCAATTGTGAGAAACCGCATAAGAACGTATACTTACCAATCGGTTATATCCCACCATCCAACATAACCGTAGTTTTGAAAATCTTTGTTTATATGACTCTGCAAAGCATCGCCAGCATTTCCTGAGTATTTACCAAGGGACAGCAGTTTGTATCGATCTTTAGAGTCTCCAACAATGAAGTGGTCATATCTGGCAAAAGCCACAACATTATCAAAGTCGACAAGTTGAATGTACAACTCATGCCGACGACTGGCAGTCAACTTATGCAATTTTTCACTTCCGATCCAGAATTCACCACCTAAATCTCCACAGCCAAAGAAAAAATTGTCTTCTGTATTCATGGGCACACTTCCGTCAAATCGACGTTGGATGACCATCCAACCAGGACCGGCGGAAGGAATATCCTCAAAAACAGCTCCGAAGGGTACGGAGTCATGGAGTGTTATCAGTTTAACTGAAGGAATCGTAGTGCAGCTTAGAAATACGAAAGATTCGTTTGGATTCTGGCAACTGTTGGTGTCTAGGGTGAACTCAGAAAGTTTTGTATTCATTTCAATTATCTTGGCTTCTAGCCGGGTTATGTGCTCTTCCTTCTCTTTAAGATTGGTTTTCATGTCCAACTCGACAAGTGCTCCGTCATTCGGCAAACGCTCAAATTTAAAAATGTTGGATTTCAAAGCGTCAATTTCGTATTCTTGCCTTTCGATTTCTTCTCTTATCTCGCTCATATTGATTTCAAATTTCTGTTGAAACTCGGCAATATGATCGTCCTTCTCCTTGACTTTACATTCCAACTGAATAATTTTGGCATTCAATTCTTCAATATTTTTCGTGTATTTGTCTTTTGAACCGGATAATTCCTTATCTTTATTCTGACTCAAATCAAGCGCATTTTTAAGCTCCACAATTTGACTCTGCATTTGCTTTATACTTAAGTCTTTGTTTTGATTCAGCAAATCGATCGACATATTCAAGGACTTGATTAATTGGTCCTTATTATTGGACTTTTCTTTTTCACTACCTAATTGCATTTCGGCAATAGTCAACTTGGAAACCAGATCATTTATTTTGGTTTTGTTCCTCCTAATAGTCTTCCTCAGTCCTTGCACGATTCCTTTTTGATCGCTTGTTCCACAACTCGTATCTTCAACATCCGAATCGCTGCTGAGCTGGAAAAAAATTTGATCTGCTCTGAATATTTAAGGGTGTCTATTTTGAAACCTACCGAATCCGAATTGTTTTCAGTGTTCGAGTCACCGAACGATCCATGAGGCTTATGCGAGAGATTGTTTAAGTTGTCAGGTTTCATGTTTACTCAAAGTATTATTGACAAAAATTATTAATCGATACAATATATAATAGAATACAAGAGTTTTTGCAGAGGATTTAATGTAAACAAAGCAAGCGGCGTTTCTTTATCTTGGAGTGTAACCAGCTTTTGATCGCGTAAGGATTTTTAAAGATCTTTGTCAGTGTGTAAGTAAAAGGGATTGGGAATAAGGTTATTCTACTGCACAATACACATTAAGACAGGGCGCGGCTGAATACCTAATTAAGAAATGTGTTAGAAACAAATTAAATGTTCAACAGTTAAACAGTTTAAGATATACCCTATTTAATACAATCAGGGGTCCCAAGGAAAGCATTCGAATTTTGAAATCACAACAGTAGAAAAGGTGGCAGCGCCAGTTAGGAGTGTGTACTGGCTAAGCCCAAGAAGTGGCAACGTGGACACGCCGCTCAGAACTAGTTCCGGTTCCCAAAGCAACCCTGCGCAGCGATGCTCGAACTGTCAACGCCACTTCCGCCTTCTTTCCGTGCGGTTCTTAAACATGACTGGTTTAACGAACAGGGTAAGTGCCGAAAAAACGACTTTAAAGCGGGCCGAGCATCAAACAAACGTGTGAAATGTTTAGCGCACAATGGTGGCCATCGGCGCAAGTGGTGAAATGTGCGAAAACACGGGTAGAAGTGCTGTTTTGAGTGTTTCAAAAGGCGTCGCGCCTTACACGTGCCAAAAAACAGAGCATCTGTGAAAATTTGGAGTGGGATGCTGGCCGAGAGCTGACAAATCGGGGAATGTATTAGTTGCCACAGGAAAACAACGTGCTGGTGGAAAATAAGGCGCCACTCACATTTGTTTATGCGCTTGCCGACGAACCTAACCTCACAAAATGGCCGTATTGTTTTCCTATTTTAATTCTATTTCCTTTACATTTTCAGACCGTTGTTATTGATGGTCGCGGCCATTTGCTTGGCCGCCTGGCCTCTGTGGTTGCCAAGTACCTGTTGCAGGGCGGCAAGGTCGCCGTCGTCCGCTGCGAGGAGCTGAACCTCTCCGGACACTTCTACAGGAACAAGATTAAGTTCCTGGCCTACCTGCGCAAGCGGTGCAACGTGAATCCGGCCCGTGGTCCCTTCCACTTCCGTGCCCCCTCCCGGATCTTCTACAAGGCTGTCCGAGGTATGTATTCCACCTGGGGAGAAGTTAAGTTGAGTGCAGCGCAGTTCCATGATGTTTTCAAACCTAATTACCTACATTATTTGAATGAGAAACCATGTAAACAAAACATAACTGAGAGATACTGCTGCCACTTCTACTTCTCTGACCACACAGTCCCTGAAAATCTCTTGCTAACTCCCTTTCTCCTCTCTTTTAGGTAAGCATAATAGACCGGCTGTCAGCTGCTCCTCTTGCCATGATGATTATCACATTCTTACCTACATTATTTGAACGAGAAACCGTGTAACCAACTCTCAACTGACGCTCCTAGTCATCAAAACCTTTTACCAAGCGTGTGTATCCTTGACTAACGGGCTGTCCTCTCCATTGCAGGCATGATCCCACACAAGACCAAGCGTGGCCAGGCCGCCCTCGCCCGTCTCCGTGTCTTCGACGGCATCCCATCGCCCTACGACAAGCGCCGCCGCGTCGTCGTGCCCATCGCCATGCGAGTGCTCACCCTGCGTTCCGACCGCAAGTACTGCCAGGTCGGCCGCCTGTCGCACGAGGTCGGCTGGCACTACCAGGACGTGGTCAAGAGCCTGGAGCGCAAGCGCAAGGCCAAGCTCCGCGTCACCCTCAAGCACAACCGCGAGCTGAAGAAGCTGACGGTCAAGGCGCGCGAAAACATCGCGAAGGCCGCCGAGCCCTTCAACAAAATCATCAAATCCTACGGCTACGAGGTTTAAGGACAACAACAAGGGCAAAATTACGTACGTTCAGATGCGTAGCAGTTTTTTAAAAGAGAATAAAACAACATCTAGTTTAAAAAACAATTTCGTCTTTGAGGGTCTATTTTTGTTTACAAATAAGAGCGTAAAAAGCATTTTCGGGATTGAACAGTGATTCGACAGTTCAATGAAGTCATGAAAATGTGCTTGCATTCATTGTTTAAGTAAAATCGATTTTTTTTAGTTTTATTAAAACCTGATGAGTAATTAAAAAAGCTGAACTTAATAAAATATTTATCAGTCTGGCTTTTGCCTTTATTCAAAAGAAAAAAGTAAAGCGTGGAGGGTAAAAATTAAGAAAAATAAGTTAATTGGGAGTTTAACTGAGATAGTCACAAGTATAAATGAAGTTATTTGTATATATATAAATTGTTTCTGGTAATTTTACGTGAGTTTCTGTCTTTCGAGTTAATTGCGTTTAAGAACACGGATACTGTTTGAATCTTGTCTGAAGATTATTTAAGAGATTAAATCTATTAAATCGTGATAGCTCGTTGGAGTTCGAATATTTTCAAATGAAACGAGGAATTCCCATTCGGATTTCACGGTTTCCTTGCTAAGACTGCTTTTCACTTTTTGGGCGTCATCGAGTAATTGCTTATTGATGATTTGTTTTTCCGGAAAATTGTGTTGAGCATTTTAAGGGTGTTTGCTTTGACGACATCAACTTTGGCACATTCCTCGTAGGCAGTTCTGTTTTGAAAAATTATGTTTGCTTGGGATGAGTCGATTCCAAAGTACTCTTGGCCATTAGTTGTGTTTCCATGTTGGCAGCCATAATGACTTAAAAAAAGTTTCACTCTAATGATGAAAGGAGTCAAAAAACTCGCACAATATCTTCTTATCCGCCTCGGGTAGTGCGACGATTGGAGGAAGTGTCTTAATCCAAAATTCGCTGTTCCAGTCGATTGTATTAGAACTCTGTTTAGAGTAATCTGAATAATTGGAGTTGTCTTCATCTGCTTTTATTTGAGTCGTACTTTCATTCGAAATTTGTAAAATGTCTTTCCCTGAAATAAACAAAGTTCCAAAGTTATAAACTTGGTAGCTAAAGATTGCTGCTTTACCACCAAGGCTAGAGTTAAAATGAAAGTGCAACGCATTCTGCAGTATTTCAAATCCAACTATAATATTTACGTTGGGCATCCCTGCTTTAATTAGAAAATCTTTAAAATAATGTTCCTATGAGCGAATTCTTAAAGAGAGTTTAATCGGGTTTTCCAAGACAGAAAGCCGGAAAGTTTTTTTCTCTAAACAAATAATTGGAATCCAATTCTTTTATGTTAAGCTAAATCAGTATTGTTTATACAGGTATACTTATAGTACAGCGAAAGAAAGAAAATTAAATTTTTTATTGGACGATAACGAGCAATAATAATCAGAACAGTAAGGGCTAGCGAATCTTTCCATAGTAAGAAGATAATTTAAAAATCCTCGTAGCATCAGTTTACAAAACTAAATCGTCAAAATGCTACATGAAGGCTAAGTTGAATTTGCATTAAAAATATGCTTCCTGATTAAGAAAAGGGCTCTTAACATTATGGGCTTTCAACTTTTTTTAAGTGTAAAAATATTTTTTTAGCTTATTTTAAGGCATATTTTAATTTATATTTTGAGTTCTGATGAGCCAATTTTGGTCATTGAAGGCACATTTATTCTTTTCTATAAAAGCCTATAGGCTCACGTTGTATTTTTAAAATCAAAGCAAGCCTAAAAGCATTTAAGTGGCACAGATATGTAAATCTGTTTGTCGTCAAAGTTTTTGTTTTCATTAAACGAATTGGTCAAGAAAATTAAATAATATAATATATAAAGTATTATTTCAAGTGTTTGAATTCCAATGGCCAGCGTCAACGGCGTCACCCGTTCTAAAAGACGCTCCTTGGAGGACCGCCTGGAGCGCAGTTACCGCCAGAAGGTGAAGATTATTCGCGGCCTGGCCGTCCGGCGGGCGAGCGCCAAGGATCTCGACCTGTGCGCCAAGTGGATGTACGTCTTCAGTCGCGCCACCAAAGAGGAGGGCAGGGCCAGGGACTACCTCCTGGAGCAGATGCTGCGGCAGCTGAGGGAATCGGGGCACCTGTCGCTGCCTTTCACCAACCTGGCTAACTGCGAACTGGAGCTGCGCCTGCTCCTGGACGAGGAGGGACGTCAGCGGTTGCGTCGCTTCAGCCCGCCGCAGGTGGTGGCCCCAAAACCCTCGAGCAGCAGCCTGGCCAGAAGAAGGATCATGTCGGGTCCGTTCGAATGGCGAAGGAGGGTGCAGCACCTGGACCATCTGGAAAATCAGTACTGGCGCGAGGAGCAGGAGGTGTGGAACCTCGAGCTCCCACCCGAGGAGTGTCCCGGGCCAAAACCGCCCCTCACAGTGGCCAAACCAAGGAAACTGGCCAAGACCGTTGGCATTCAGGTTGATGTTCAAGTGCTCTCGCCGCGGGCTGAACGAGATCTCTGCGAGCGCGAGCGCAAGCAGCGGGAGATCCTGAGGCGGCGAGAACGGGATCGCGTGGAGCGGCAGCTCAGGGAGCAGGAGCGGGAGCGGCAAAGGACTCTGCTGGCCGAGCAGCAGAAGCTGGACCGCCAGCGCCTGGAGAAGGCGCGTCAGCAGCGCGACCGACGGTTGCGGGAGCAGCAGCTGAAGGTCAAGGAGCGACGCGACTACGAGCGCTACCTGCTGCTCAAAAAGCGCGAGGAGCAACGCCTCCAGGATCAGCGATCGTGGGCTCAGCGGCGTCCTCGCACGCCTTCGTCAGAGGAAGAAGAGATGGCGCAGGAAGCCGGCCAGGACCTCCAACAGGAACCCATTGAGGAACCCATACCCGAAATCAGGCACAGGTCCGAATCGGCAATGACGTTGCCAGCCGACTCTGAAGCTACCAAAAGTTCCAGACGCGACCAGCAGCTGCACCTTCGGGCGGAAAACATAAAACGCAAGGTGTTGGCCTATGAGCAGCTGAAGGAATACCATCGGAAGAGGGCATGGGCCGAGCGGGAGCGACAGCTCAGGAAGCGGGAATTGAAGGAGCAAGGCATGGATATCAAAAATCCTGAGAGAAATAACCCAATAGGAAACACCGAAGAATCCCAGAATGTGGAGAGAAAAAATAAAGAAGGCCAAGAAAGCAGAGACTTTGTACAAAAAGATTTGATTAAGAAAGTACACAGTGATGGGAGAGACGACATCGAAAGAATGGCGGAACTGGATCACAAAAGACTGGAAGAACACCAAGAAAGAGAAGACTTTAAAGGAAGGGATTTAGAAAAAAAGAAAACAATTGATCGAAAGGAAAGAAAAAACTTTGAAAGAAAGAGGCAACCGGATAAAAAATGTCTTAAAGAAAGCATAGAGAGGGCAGAGTCCGATCAAAAGGAAGACTTCGAAGATAAGGAAGTCAAAATCGACAAGAAACGGCAGAAGAGTGAAGAGTTTGGTCCAAGAGAACTGAAATTAGAAACCGATCAAATGGAAAGAGAAAAAAGAAAGCGGGAGCTTCGAGCTCTTAAAGAACGACAGGAATGGGAAGAGTTTGAACGAAAAGTTATGGAAAGACTGGAAACTGAACGAAAAAAACGGGAAGACTTTGAACAGAAGAGGCAACAGGAGCTCACAAGTCTTAAGGAACGCCAGGAAAGAGAAGAGTTTGAACGAAAAGAACTGGAAAAAAGACTTGAAAAAGATCGAAAGGAAAAGGAAGACTTGGAAAGAAAGCGAGAGCAGGATCTTAAAAGTCTTAGGGAACTGCGAGAGAGAGAAGAGTTTGAAAGAAAAGTTTTGGAAAAACTAGAAAACGAGCGAAAAGAAAGAGAAGACTTTGAAAGAAAGACATGCGAGGAGCGTGAGCGGGAAGAAAAAACAATTGAGGAGCTTAAAGCTACCCTAAATGAGGTACAGGAACGGGAAATAAAGCGTGCCGAGGAACGGGAGAGAATAGCTCGAGAAAAACGGGAACTCGAAAAACGAGATCAAGCCGAGTGCGAAAGGATGGCTAAAGAAGAAGAGCTCCTTAGGGAAAGAAGACTTTTGGAAAAGCTCAAGCGGAAAAAAAGCGAAAGGGAGGAGATGGAAAGAAAAGCCAGAGAAGAAGATCTCAAGAGGGAACAGATTCTTAGAAAGTGGCTTGAAATGCAGGAGGAAGAAGAAAAGAGGGAAGCAAAAGAACGGGAAGAACAGCAGAAAAGGATACTTAAAGAATGTGGGAGAAAAACCCAAGGGCGTTTATCTATGGAAGATAAAGCTACTGAACAAAAAGAAGGAGCGGATGCTGAGAGAAAGGTCACAGAGGAACGTGATCGATTGCAAAGAGACACACTCATAAAGGATCAGCAAGAGCAGGAAAGATCTAAGCTAGAGGAAAAAAAAATTTTGCTCATGGAAAAAGAGGAAGAAAGGCATCTTAGAGATAAGCTAAGTAGAGAGGAAAAAGACTGGGATCAAAGAATAGAGCAGCTAAGGCTGAGTAGGGAAAAAGGAATCCAGCTAGAAAGTGAAACGAGAGAGGTAGCTAGAAAACTAAAGAGTCACCTGGAAAGGCGACTTGAACTTAACCAAGATGATGAGATCCGACAAAACATGTCGGAAGAAATGAGGGTCACAAAATCTCGAACTCAAGTAATATCAGACAAAGATATAGACCCTAAGAACATTGTTAGTAAGGGAAAATCAAAAAGCCAGACCCAGAATATGTTTTTCGAGAATCCCCCGGGAGACATTAAGAAACATGGATCTATCAGCAAGGATGTTCTTATCCGATTAAATAAGCTGGAAAAGAAGAATAGCAGGTTAAACGATGAAATTCAGGTCCCCAAGGAGCTGCGCTTGGAAGCAGGGAAACTGTCTGAACAGAATCTTTTGACCAGACCTCCTCGGACAAAGTTTTCAATGAAGGTTCAGAGAAATGAAGGAAACAGCGTGAGCGCTGAACCAAAGCCAAAGGATGTAGGCGACGAAGTCTGGTCCCATCGGCAACGGAGAACCCAAGAACCAAGACCCAGTTCCAGTCATGAGTACTTTGAGCCAGGATCCTTGAAGTCTCGCAGCGAACGTTGGGCTCGGTTCATGGGCAGTGAAGAAAAATCCGACGCAGAAGATCTTCCAAGCCAGGAACGTCATCCCGGCAGTTCCTCCAGCGCAGAAAACAATACGATTCCGGAACCTCGTTACTCTCTGGTAGGAAGGTACTGTCCACGAAAAAAAACCTATGCGGTGGAGCAGCAGAATGTTCCTCCGACCCCATATGGAAACCCCGAGCAGCAAGAAGCTTATGGTTCCTATGTTCGAGGCCGTGTGGCCGAGTGGCGGAAAATGCTTGGACCAAGATTATATTCCGCTGACGAGGACGAATTTGACGAGCGACAAAGAGGTGGAGGAATAGCAGGTGACGTGGGCTTGAGTTACTGCACTCGGACTGGCAAGAAGCGATATCCCCAGATCAAGCAACCTGAGACTGGCAGAGATCAATTTGGTCTAAAGGAAAACCGCGTCCAGCAAATAAGGGTATTTAGACAGCTTCTAACACAAGCTCGGACATCCGATTACCAACCGGACATATTGGATGCCGAAAATCGCCTTTTAGAGAAGAAATTGGCAGAGGCCAAAGTCAATGCCACGAACCATTATGTCCAGGAATCAATTCTGTTAGTGGCAAGACGTCTAATCAGTATTTTCCAAAGAGATGAAGCTTACGCAAGTTCCGAAGATGAGACTGATTCTCAGGGAGATGAAGTGCTCGCGCAGATCTATCTACAGGAGATCCAGAGCAAGATGAAGCTTCCCAGGCCAATCTTCAAAACTTTAATGGAAGTTTTGCTTTTATATAACGAACCTATTGTGCCCCATTTCGTAGAGAAAATTTGCATTTTGGATACCGAGCTAGAAGTGCATCTGAAAAAGATTTGCAATCGCGTCTTCGCTCGACAAGGTGCGAAGATCCTTCGATGTAATGCGGAACAGTTGGTGGATCAAATGCGGCATGTGCAAAGCTGCCAACTGGCCGAATTGTGCCGGGACTCCGAGGAGCAGACACTGCGGCAGTGGAGGCGGCTGTCCAGGAACTCCCTGTCCGGGATCAGGAGCCTCTTCCACGATTATTGCGACATGCACGACGCTCTCCCACGTGTAACCCTTCAGACTATCGAGCGACTTTACGGTGAATGGAAGGATCAGAGGTTTTCTTGTCGATTAGAAAAGATGCATTGATATTCTCCGGTTTTATTTACACAATTTTTCATTTTACTCCTTTAACCTTTAATTGTTTACCAAGTTGGAGTTCTTGTTAAATTTAATGGTATCCTATTTCCCCGTTATTTTGAAGAAATAATATAGGCACATGGCCAGAATCTTGAGACAAAATGAAGATTATTAGTTACTTACTGGATTAAACAAGCAGATTATATAAAATATTGTTTGTCCTTAGAACAAATTTGGTTGGAATACAAATAAAGTACCGATCGTCGTATTATTTAAGGGTGACGATGAGTTTTTCGTAAATACCCCCTGTGTCAGCATACAAAATATCAGATAGATTAGATAAGTTACAAAAATATAGTTTGAAATCCTATAAAAAATAAGATAAAAAGAAAAATGGAGCTGTTTGGGACTAGGAGGGTAAGGGAGCATACCCTGTACTTCTGGCTGGTCTAGCTCTTTCGGTTGGGGTTCTGGGATTTTCTCTTGAATAATTCGACTTTCTTTCAAACAACTATAGTTCTGAAACCGCACTTTACGACTGATTTGGTCTCCCTAAACACTCTGGTGTCACTACAAAAATATTCTATGCCAGAGAATACTCGTTACTCACCTAAGGGGAGTGTGAGGAAGATGGAGATATGAAGGCAGCAAAGCGATTGTTCACGATATTGCACACCTCGCAACAGTGTCACATAGCGTAGATTTCTTTATATGCTTATGACTTTTCAATGGATTGTCCGATTTGGAACATTTTTGGCATGAAGATAGATATTGATAATCAAATCAAAACATTAGAACTTTCACAGAATTTTCAAAAATGTGGGCAATAGACGGGTTTTAGCGTAGGCGTATGGGCCAGAGTGGGCTTGGCCTCCTGCTGAAATAGAATTGCGCTGTCCCAGAAGATCTCGCCAAGATCTCGAAAATTTTAAAGTCTTTACTAACCCTTATTTTTGATTTTTATATATAAAAGCCTAAAGGTTCTGTGGAGAATAAAAGTCTTTTGAATATATGTATCTCAAAACATGTACATATTAGAGATACCAAATGTTTTTGTATACATATTGATTATAAATTGTTTTATATATTCTTGGAATAAGTTAACAAGATAACAAATATCAGGAGGTTATGTTTCTTAACGAGGGAATACTATTGCTCTGAGAAAAAGGCTAAGACTTTTATTTACTGCTGTCTAGACTTTTATTATACCCGTTACTAGTAGAGTAAAAGATTCGTCGGAAAGTATGTAACAAGCAGAAGAGCGCGTTTCGGACCCCGTAAAGTATACACATATATTCTTGATCAGGATCACTAGCCGAGTCGATCTAACCATGTCTGTCTGTACGTATGAACACTGAGATCTCAGAAGCTATAAGAGCTAGGCTGTTGGGATTTGGCATGCAGATTCCTGAGCTTCTTGCGCAGCGCAAGCAGGGTGCCACGCCCACTCTAACGCCCACAAACCGCCCATAACTGTGGCTTCTACAGTTTTGATGCTAGATTAAACATTTTAACTGAAATGTATTGCTCCCATCAACATTAACGCCCACAAACTTAAAAAAAATCGTAAGTATGAACGCGGATGTCTCGGAAACTATCAAATATACAAAATTGGTATTTAAGATTTAGATTCCGTAGCCTTGTACGCAGCGCAACTTTGTTACTCGAATATGCCACGCACACAAGCCGCCCAAGCATGTGGCGCCCACAATATTCATGCTAGTTAAAAAATTTTAACTGAAATTCCTATAGATTGACCCAAAAAAAGTTTGCCACGCCCACTCTAATCCCCAACTCTTAAATCTGTCTACCGCCCACATAACCATATATATCTTGCATATCTTCATTTCCCTTTGGTCCCTTTAGCTGAGTAACGGGTATATAATAGTCGAGGTCCTCGACTACAACGTTCTTCCTTTTTTTTTGGGCTTTTATAGTAAAAGTTTTTTTCGACTTTCATTTGAATAAAAGTCCCTGTCAATCTTGTAGTTAAGACTTTTGTTTTTAAAAGTCGTTGATAACAGTTATGAGAGAAGTATGATTCAAACTTAACTGTTATTTCAAGTTTTGTAGTAAAAATAAAAGATAACAGTTATTTGGGACAAAACAAAAAAACAAAAACAAAAATTGTTAGTATTTGTTATAAAAGTATTTTATTTTTAAAAGAAGCAAAATAAAAGTTTATTGATAAACTGATTAGTATACTTGGAGGTTTTTTGTTACGTTTCCAAACGTAACAAATCTCTTATTTTCGGTTCCTGGTAAGCGCTTAAGTTTATTGTTTTTTCCAAAAGTTATAATTTATTATATCGTACAGATAGTAATTTAAATGTCAATAAAATATAATTTTTTGAATTGGTGAACTAGAAATTTACAACTGGGCTAGGCGGCACAGGAATGCACAAAATTGTCCTTAATTCGTGAAGTGGAGGAACAAGGCAATCAAGAGGAGAATGGTGTTAGCTCTAACCATACTAGAGCTGTCCTCGTCGTCGTCTTTACCAGAACCATGACCATGACCACCATCACCTCCCCCATCCCTGCAAAGAAATAATATTAGGAAACGAAGGTCTTAGGATGCGAGAAGTAACTACTTGATCGGCTTCGGAACATGTTCTTTGAACAGCCCATTAACATTCGTTGGTGGAGTATATCTTCCGACTACCCAGAAGTGCCCATTTTTATCTCTAGCCTGGCCGATACCTAGTTTTTTCGCGCCCTTCCAAACTACAGCAGTAAAATGGCCAGTGTCCATGGAGAAGCCCGGATTGTTAAAGTCGTAGGATTTGATTTCATCGTACCAATCTTGAACACATTTCAAGGCATTGTGTGACCGCATGCACAAGTTTTCACCATACTTCCCGCCTCCATCACTATGGGCCATATTTTCGGTTTTAGCTAACTCCTACACAAGCGATTAATAGGGTATTGCAGTTCGAAATCTAAATTAAAAAGGGCAGGACATACTTGTGCATATTCCTCGCATCCTTTTGAAAGAGCAGCGTCCAAAACGAGAGGGGGAGTCCCGTGCAACTTTCTCAGCCGATTGTGCTCGTTTAGATAGTCCTCCTTGAGGCCAGCTTCAACCGCGACCAACTGGAAGATAAGTAATAAGATCTGTTTCAAGTGATTTTAAGTAATTTTTTGTTTTACCAAACAAAAAGCCAAAACTATTAATATGTTCACCAAAGCCATGTTTTATTTTTGTGATTACTATTTAATACTTGACAGCTTTTTCCTAGGTTAAGATTCAGCAAAGTTCTTAAGTCTCAGGAGACTTGGTTTTAATCCCATCCCTTAAGCTAACATCTTCTTGTACACATACGCAAGCTAGGATGCAACAAGAACGATAGCTAGCTTCGGCAAGCCGAAGTTTTTATACCCTTGCAGGTCCTATACATATATAGAGCTTTCTAATTGTTTACATATAAAAAAAAATATATATTATAAAATAATCTCATAAATATTAAGATGATGTTACTTTCAATTTACTAGCTTTCTTATCGGCTTTCCGAAAACGAAAAAAAAAGATTTTTGTCTTGTATTGACATTCATTTGGGATCCTTCCTATGAAAACGTTATGATATATTAGTCCGATTCTGATATTTATTTTTTCGAATTCAGAAATAAAAAAAAAACTATATACTGAAGTATAAGAGAATATGATCAAAAATAACGAAGCTATAATTATAATTATTTTTTTATCATTCATCCATTAAATATCTGATCTGATTCCTATGATATAGTTGTCCAAGTTTTTTTATTAAATTCAAAATTTTAAATCTAAAAAAATTATATAAACTTAAAGAAATTGTTTATTCATTGTTTTCCGATTAATCCTATGGGAGCTGCAGGATATAGTTTTCTGAATTGACTCGTTCCGACTTATAAATATACTACCTGAAACAGAAAAGAGCCGTTTGGGAAGTTAGCTTAAAACTAAGAAAAAAACAAATTTTTCAATTAGGAATTTTTTTAATTTAAAACACGATAATTTCTTTCAAACTTAAGCCATTTAGCATTATCAAACAAAAAATTCGTTATTATTACTAAGAAGATTTATTCATCCAAAAGCGCAACAGCTCTACTTTTTTATAAAGGTAGTTATTAATGGAAACTTTCTGTTCTGCAGAGTATAAAACTAGTTTAGAGTTGGACCCTTATAATATTGGGCATTTTGGCTATGAACTAGTGTTATCACAACCTAAACGCTTTGGTTGGCTTAAATGGATCAAAAATGGCCAAGTTTCAAATTTTACCTTTTTTTCATATTCAACCGTATAAAATAAAGCTGCTTTTCACAAAGCTTTCAGCAGTTTAAAATATGAATTAATAATTTAAAATATTTTTAAAATCCCAACTGTTTGAAATAAGGCTAGAGCTTATCATAAAGCTCTTTTGGCACAGCTGATTTGCAAAGTTTTCAGTGATCAGCTGGAACAGAGCTGCTAGTAGTGATATCTACCTGCCTATCGGTGCCAGTGATCGACCTTCGACTAGCATCACCAGAACTCCCACGATGTCATCCTTCAAGGACAAAGTTGTTATTGTGACCGGAGCCAGCTCCGGCATAGGAGCAGGTGCCGCCGTCCACTTGGCCAGCCTCGGTGGTCTCCTGGTCATCGTGGGTCGCAACGTGGAGAAGCTGAGGGAGACGGCCGACAAGATTGTGGCGGTCGGAGGAGCTCCAGCCTTGGAGCTGCAGGCGGACATGACCAAGGAGGCCGAGGTGCAGCAGATAGTGGACGCCACTCTGGCCAAGTACGGACGCATCGATGTGCTGGTCAACAACGCGGGCATCCTGGAGTCCGGCTCCATCGAGAACACCAGCCTGGAGCAGTTCGACCGCCTGATGAACACCAATGTGCGCTCCCTGTACCAACTCACCATGCTGGCCACTCCGGAGCTGGTCAAGACCAAGGGCAACATTGTGAACGTGTCCAGCGTTTGTGGACTACGCGCTTTTCCCGGTGTCCTGGCCTACAATGTCTCCAAGGCGGCGGTGGATCAGTTCACGGCCTGCGTGGCCCTGGAACTGGCCTCTAAGGGCGTCCGTGTCAACGCAGTGAATCCCGGCGTCATTGTAACCGATATCCACAAGCGCGGCGGCATGGACGAGGAGACGTACGCCAAGTTCCTGGAGCACTGCAAGGTCACCCACGCCCTTGGTCGTCCTGGGGATGTCAAGGAGGTGGCTGCGGCCATTGCCTTCCTGGCCAGCGATGCCGCCAGCTTCAGCACTGGGGTCAGTCTGCCCGTGGACGGAGGTCGCCATGCCATGTGCCCGAGATAAATTCACGCGGTGAAGAGGGAGTATTATCCAATCATACAGTGGCATTTAACGAATTTAATCACTGAGATTGTCAATCATTATAATGAAGTATTGAATTGAAATATACATAGCTCATAACTTAGAAACACCCTATTTATATATTGCTATAATTAATATCATTTTTTGTTACTTATGGTACAGTATACACATGAAAACGTGGGATCATAGTTAACTCTTAATTTTGTATACGATAAATACTTCTCAAAGTGATCTACGAATGTTTTAAACTATTTAATTCCATAATTTGGCAAGATATTAAGATTCTACAAGTCTTAAAAATTTGGAATATTTTTACTTTACAAGTACTGTTAGCTAAATTATTGTTTAGTACATATTAAAGTTTTTAAAAATTATTTTGTCTCTGCATGACATACCCTCTTTAAAATAGAATGAGATAATACATTATTGGGAGAAAACAACTGATAAGTTTGCATATGTATAAATAGAATCAACGCGAAGGTTAAGTGAAATACATACTTAGTACATAAAAACAATAACAAATTAAATGTTAATTAACACCGAAAGCACGACTCCAGGTACTTTAAATTTCACAACCGCCAGAAATAGCTTTGAAAGTTCCCCCTATCGATAGAATAATCGAATGCACCCCCAAGTAGTTGTTGACTTCTGGGTCTTCAATGTCACCATCATTATCATTCCAGTTTTCAAGCAGATCACCTCAACATGCCCAGTTTCAAAGATAAAGTGATTATAGTGACCGGCGCCAGTTCGGGGATCGGAGCGGGTACTTCAGTCCTCTTGGCCAAGCTCGGAGGCCTGCTGACCATCGTGGGCAGGAATGTGGATAAGCTCAAGGAGACCGCGGATCAGATAGCGGCAGCTGGAGGGGCGCCTGCCCTTCAGGTGGCGGCGGATATGAACAGCGAGTCGGATGTGCAGGGTATCGTCTCCGCCACGTTGGCCAAGCACGGACGCATCGACGTGCTGGTGAACAATGCCGGGATTCTGGAGCTGGGCAGCATTGAGAACACCAGTCTGGAGCAGTTCGATCGCGTCATGAACACCAATGTGCGGTCCGTCTACCAACTGACCACTCTGGTCACGCCGGAGTTGGTCAAGACCAAGGGCAACATCGTGAACGTGTCCAGTGTCAACGGCATCCGTTCCTTTCCCGGTGTCTTGGCCTACAACGTCTCCAAGGCGGCTGTGGATCAGTTCACCAGGTGTGCGGCCCTGGAACTGGCTCCCAAGGGAGTCCGTGTGAACTCCGTGAATCCCGGCGTGATCATCACCGAGCTGCAGCGACGAGGTGGACTGGATGAGGAGGCGTACAAGAAGTTCCTGGAGCACGCCAAGATCACCCATGCCTTGGGTCGCCCCGGAGAAGTAAAGGAGGTGGCTGCGGCCATTGCCTTCCTGGCCAGTGATGAGGCCAGCTTCAGCACAGGAATCAGTCTGCCCGTGGACGGAGGTCGCCATGCCATGTGCCCAAGATGAGAATCTACTTACTTAGCCAAAATGCATTTATTTGCCTCCAAAGTTTGGATGGCCAGTATTTTAACAATATTAAAAAACATTAAGCAAATCTTAGTAGGGCGTTTATATTTCCATTTCATGTTACTTAACTTTTTTTTAATTCAGGGAGAACTATTTAGAAAATAAATCAAATAGTGCAATATCTGTGTAATTGAAGGTGCTACAGAAGAAATACTTTCTTTTTTTTTTTTAATTAAAGTATCAAATAATTCTTATTTTTGTCACTTTAAATACAAATTTTAATAAACACTTTTTTCTTATCTTTTATTTAAAAAAAAAAACAAAAAAAAGTCTTATCAAATTTTTGAAGTAAAGATCAAAAATGATTCCTAAACTTTATTTTTATAAAAATAAATTGATTTTTTTTTTAGGTTTTTCTTGGCTGTGATTTTTTTGTGTCCTATGACTCTTATTTACGGTCCTCTCTAATTACTGATCATCTTTTATGTGTTTAATAACATTTTGCTTAAAATTCTAACATTTTTTTCAATCTTAAACAATTCTAATTCAATTTAATTTTTTTCAGTACTCACTATTTCAAGAAAACAAAACCAATCTTAAAGTGATGTTTTTGGTTTTTGAATTAAGGATTGCCAAAAAATTGGATTCAACTATAAAGCTTCCTCCGAAATTGCAGTGTGTAAAATAATTTCATTTTTTAAATGACACTTAAAATTTTATATTTTGTTAGTGAATCGGAGGGCAACAACTAAAAGAGGAAGGCGGTAGGCAGGACAGGAAGGGATTTGACTCTTTGGTAGGGATTAGCGTGGACACATAAGTTGTTTTCCCCCGTCCACAGGAAAGTTGACTCCTGTCACGAAGCTAGCCAGTTCACTAGCCAGGAAACAAATAGCGGACGCCACCTCCGTTGGCTCCCCAATCCTGCCCAGGGCATGGGTCTCCTTGGAGCGCTCTAGAAATTCTGCATAGCTTTGTTCGTCCATGCCACCGGCCTTTTGAAGATTGGTGCGAATTACCCCCGGATTAACCGAGTTCACTCGGACACACTGAGGACCCAGATCCAGCGCCAAGGACCGGGTGAACTGGTCCACAGCTGCCTTGGACATGTTGTAGGCCACCAGATCGGGAAAGGCGCGCAGCCCACAGACACTGGACACGTTGACGATGCTACCCTGGCACTGGACAAGCTGAGGGAGCAGCAACTTGGTCAAGTAGAACATGGACCTCACATTGGCCTCCATTACGTGCGTGAAGCAAGAAAGTTCCGTGCTCTGCAGCGTGCCCGTGGGCATGATGCCCGCCCCGTTCACCAGGACATCCAGTCTGCCTTCAAAGCGCTCCTTGGTCTTCCTCGCAACGCACTCCATCTCCACCGGCTTGAGCAGATCCCCGGCTATGCCGTAGGGCTCATAGCCCGTCTGCATGCACTTCTTCATCACATTTATGAGTCCCTCCTCCTCCCGATCCACCAGCGTCAGGCAGGCGCCCAGCTTGGAGAACATTTCGGCGGTGGCGGCCCCGATACCGGAGGCTGCACCCGTGATTAACACCACCTTGCCGGTGAAGTCCAGACCCGCCTTGCCCTTGCTGCCCATCGAACCGAGTTTTTGAGTCTTAGGTGGAAAAATTAAAGTATTTGGGTGACTTTACAGGGAGACATGACTTGATCATAACTAGCTCTACATTAATTCTAATCTGGTTAGAATTGAATTGAACCAATAAGTAATAAAAGTAAATAATTTACAACAACAGGTAACAGAATACATTATATGATTAGAAAGTTTAAGTTAGATGCAAGAAACTTAGGTATCTCCATTTAGATTAAGAAAGTAATGTGCTAAAGTTAATACACAAACTCTACGAAGGTATAAGAATATTCCAAATCAGTTCCTGACCAAAGATGATTGGACTAATGGGAAAACATTTTATGTACATACATAAAGAAAATAAGGAATAAAGAATAACAACAAACAATGTTATAAATGCATTTACACATGGAAGGTTCACGCAGGTCTTTCAGTTCTTTCGACCTTATCCTCCAAACTTAGCGTGGGCACATGGCATGGCGACCTCCGTCCACGGGCAGGCTGACCCCAGTGCTGAAGCTGGCAGCATCGCTGGCCAGGAAGGCAATGGCCGCAGCCACCTCCTTGACATCCCCAGGACGACCCAGGGCATGGGTAGTCTTCGAGTGCTCAAGGAACTTCTTGTACGTCTCCGGGTCCATGCCTCCGCGGGCGTGCAGGTTGGTCACCGTCACGCCGGGATTCACGCAGTTCACCCGGACACATTTGGGGGCCAGCTCCAGAGCCACGCAGCGGGTGAACTGGTCCACGCCCATTTTGGATATGTTATAGGCCAAGACCCCGGGGAAAGAGCGTATCCCATTGACACTGGACACGTTCACGATGTTGCCCTTGCTCTTGACCAGCTCCGGGGTGGCCAACATGGTCAGGTGGTAGATCGCCCTCAGGTTGGTGTTCATCACGCGATCGAACTGCTCCAGACTGGTGGTCTCAATCGTGCCCGTTTCGATGATGCCGGCATTGTTGACCAGCACATCCAGTTTGCCGTACTTCTCCAGGGTCTCCGTCCAGATCCGCTGGGTGTCCGCCTCCTTGGCAATGTCGCCCACCACCAGAGCCGGCTGGGATTGGCTCACCTTGCTGCACTCCGCGGCCACCTTCTTGAGGTTCTCCACATTGCGGCCATTCAACGCCAGGCAAGCTCCATACTTGGCGAACTTCACCGCGGTGGCGGCGCCGATTCCGGAGCTTGCTCCTGTAATTAGAACGACTTTGCCGGCGAAATTCATGTTCCAGAATTACGTAAGGGGATCTCAAGCCCTGTGCGCATCTTGTTGATTTTACTAGGGGTATTCATTCATCTCCTTAAAAAACAATACAAACATTTCAGGCTGATTTTAGTATTTGTAAATAGTAAATTAAAGAAATATTAATTTTTATTATAAATAAAAGTTAAAAAATTATTGTTTCCAAATTTCAAGCTACAAAAAAATTAAAAAATTTTAATTACAGTAAATGTTTTTCTAAAAATATAAAAATAACAACAACAATTTTTTTTATTAATTAGGTCCTGAAAATGATCTACATATTTATTTTTTAACCCGGGATATGTGGTTCCACACAGAAGAGACAGTATTTTTTCCAGATACTTAAATATTTAATATTCAGTATTTTTTCATGGTTGGTATATTTTAACGGTCCACCCGGTCTCACTCACCTGATCATGTAAACATAACATAACGTCGAAATGCGTTTTTTAAGGAACTGCACTCTGTTTGCCCACCAAGCGCGCAACTCATCCACGCAATCTGGCCGCCGGAGAGTGGTGGTCACGGGAAGTGGAGCAGTCACGCCACTGGCCAACAATGGCCCGGATTCCTGGCAACGCATTCTGGCCGGCGAGTCGGCAATCTCTCGGTTGGGACCGGAGTTCAAGGGCCTGCCCTGTCAGGTGGCTGCACAAATACCCAGAGACAAGCTGCAGTTGGATCAGCACCTGACAAAGTCGGATATTAAACTGATGAGCCCCGCCACTCAATTGGCTGTACTGGCGGCGGAGGAGGCTCTGGCCACCGGTAAGCTGAACCCGAAGGAGCTGAGCGAGGAGCAGCGGGAGCGCTTTGGCGTCTGCGTGGGCATGGGCATGTTCGACCTGGCGGAGGTCTACGGAGCCTGGAACCAGCTACAGAGAGGCTACAACAGAGTTAGCCCCTTCTTCGTGCCCAGACTCCTGCCCAGCATGGCGTGTGGTCACATCAGCATGCGACATGGCTTGAGAGGGCCCAACCACTCGGTGTCCACAGCCTGTGCCACGGGAGCCCATGCTTTAGGCGATGCCATGCGGTTTATCCGCAACGGAGATGCGGATGTGATGCTGGCGGGGAGTGGCGAGGCCTGCATAGATCCGCTCTCCATCGCTGGATTTTGCAGATTGCGAGCGTTGAGCACCGCATTCAACGACAACCCGTCGGTGGCCTCCAGACCCTTTGACAAATCCCGGGATGGCTTCGTGATGGGCGAGGGTGCCGCTGTGTTGTTGCTGGAGGAACTGGAGCATGCTCGTGCTCGAGGAGCTCCCATCCTGGCCGAGATCCTGGGCTACGGCCTGTCCGGCGATGCCTATCACATAACCTCGCCAAGCGAGGACGGCGCCGGAGCTACGCTAGCCATGAAACGGGCCATAAAGGATGCTGGAATTTCTCCAGATGAAGTCACCTACGTAAACGCCCATGCCACCTCCACGCCCACGGGCGACCGCATCGAGTCGCACGCTATAGGACGTGTCTTTGACGAGCACACCCCCCAGGTGAGGGTCTCCTCGACCAAGGGAGCCCACGGACACCTGCTGGGCTCGTCCGGCAATCTGGAAGCCCTTTTTGTGGTGCTCGCCTGTGCGGAAAACAAGCTGCCGCCCTCCATCAACATTGAGCATCTGGATGTGGACGTCAACGTGGTCAGGGAAGCCACCGAGTGGTCACCAGATCAAAAACGACGCATTGCCCTCAAGAACTCCTTTGGTTTCGGAGGAACCAATGCCTCCCTGTGCATTGCCAGCTTTTCCCAATAATTGCTAAGAGATGTTAACTATTTTTAAAGACCGCAAAGTGAATAAAGTCCTCAAATGTTTGCATATTTTTAGGAAAAATTTTTAGTTTTAAAACTTTATTTGGAAAACTTTTTTCGGTTGCTTGTCTCGCCGTCACGTCGTCGTCTTCGTCAGTTTCTTGCTCTGTAAAAATGTTTATGCGTACTGTTATTATCCAATGCGCACTGTATGTACTGTTATATTGTATATCTGTATATAATATATATATAGGTATATAATTATGTATATAGCTCTGTTTGATTTGCTTCTGTTGCTTGTCTCTCTGTTTGTTATTGCTGAATTCGCTGCTAGAAGTCGCCGACTTTGGGTTTAGACTTTAGAGTTATGTTGGTTGTGGGAAAGTAAGACAAAATCAATAGTAGACGGCTGGTCAAACACTCGCGCGGCTTGCTGTGGTCGTGGGCCTGAATTTGACAATAGTTGCAGCTTCGATCCGTTCTCTTATTTCGACTTAACTAACCGTTTAATTTGAAGTGTTTTTATTTTACAAAATTGCTTAGGTCGTAAAGTTAAAAGTATGTTGGCTTACAATCGAAACTTCTTCATAATCATTTAATTTTATTGGTTTTCTGTTTATGTTCTGCTGGTTTCAGCTTGCCCTGCTGCTCTACCACTAGGGTCTAGGCATTCTTTGCTATCTGCGACGCTGTCATCTTGTAATTCGTACATTTTTAAATGTATTTGCGGCTTAGATTCGTACTAATTTATATGCGTAAATAATAGCTATATGTGGGTGTCGGGTAGGTGTGGGCGTGTGTGTGATAGCTCTCTAAATGACCGAACTTTCGCTTGTTTACATAAATTATGAAAATACATTTTATTCGAATTTTAACGTTTTAGATTTTTACTGTACATTTTGTTTTTGAAGTTTTCCGTTATTAGTTACAGCATAAATTATGGGGCTTTAATTACTTAATTTTGCACGTCACATTTTTTAACAATATTAAATTTTTTCACTCATCAATGTAAAGCATTCAAACAATTTCAAATATATCTTTCGGGTTTTATATGCATACACAATTCAAGTCTGGACAAAAAACTATTTAAAACTTTTGGAGGCTCTTTAATTTCATAATTACGTATCTGGTTCTTAGCTAGGTTTAGGCTTAGGAAATTAAACGTGGAACTTTGAAGCGCGGGTTGAAAGTACGACAGAACATCTCCAGAACTCACATGCACATATATTAAAAAAACCATTGCAAATGCGTTGTGTACTAAACGAATTAACGAACTTTTGAGTTTCATGCATTAAGCCCACACTTTCTTGGCGAAAGTGCAGGCAGATGTGTGTTTGCGTTCGGTGTGTTGAGATTTTAAATTTAAAAAAATATATAAAATATTTATAAATATTTTGTTGTTTCGCGTTCTGTTACTGTTGCTACAGACCTTAACACTTATTATCTTACTATTTGTTTTTAAAAAGACATCTATTTAAGCGCTAATAAAGTGGTTTGTGGTTGCTATCGGTTGCTGTTGTCATACAGTGATGCTGTAACTACACTGATCCTAAGTCGAATGCCTGTCCACACGGTGTGTCTGTGTGCCTTTACGCTGCGGGGGTATGTACATGGCAAGCCCGTCAAACCAGAGAACGCTCACTAGTTGAGCAGTGCATCCATGGTGTATGGAAATGGAGGATTTTGCTGCTCGAATCTGTTTGCTGAAGACGATAACAACTTGGTTGCCGATGCTGCTACGGCTGCAGATGGTGCTGATGCTGATGCTGCTAATGTGTTTGCCGGCGACGGTCAGTCCAGTATGACGATTTGTGATTCAATGGGCCTGCTACTCGGCTCGGGCGCCGCAGGCTTAATGGGCAGTGTGCGCCATGGTTTGCGCGCGGCGCGGCGCAGGTCGACGGCGGAGAGTATTTTTCGCGTTTTTCTGTAAGCAAAAAAAGTAAATGTTTAGGAGCTTGTCTTTATTTACTTGGAATTGAGTTTTTGGTCCAATTTAATCAGTTTTCTTGTGTGATGATATGTTAGGATAAGTTTTGGTTGACAATGCATTGAATACAAGTTGTAAAATGAATATGTCTATTAACATTTTAATCCCTGACCTAGAGAGAACGCTAAAGTCGATTGCTTCGACTATTAAATACCCGTTAATCAGGTAACTTCAAAAGAAGAAAAAATATTTTGTCTGTTGACCAATTTTAACATAAAATTTCATAGCATATCTTTTGGCGCGGCACCTAAAGGTGGCGCCACCTAGCGGATGGTGTCGGTACTATTGACCATGTAAGGCCTTTTTCATTATAAAGTTATTCATAACTTTTAAAATAATATTGCGATTGGTATGATTATTGGAATGTTGATAGGTATAGATTAATAAAATCGAATTCAATATTTGATAAAACAAAATTTTCAAAAATCTAGGCTCTAGACAGACTTTAGAGTGTGTGTCACTAGGCTGAAACAAAGTTGGCTGGCTAAGAGGCCCTAGAATCTGTATGCTTAATTCTAACTTTCTAGCATTTTTTAATTTTCGAGATCTTAGCGTTCATGCGGACGGATAGACAGACGGATATGGCTAGATCGACTCGGCTTGTGATCCTGATCAAGAATATAAAATCTTTGTACGGTCGGAAACTGTTCCTTTTATCTGTTAGCTTCCTTCCTCTACGAGTAACGGGTATAATTATGTACACTAAAAACTCTTGTTAATTGACAAATCGAATTACACAAAAGTGAAATCCGGAATTGGCATAATTTATCAACTTCTTATTACTCACTTGTGTGTATCGTTAGCCCTAAAGTAAACATCGTCCGGAGCATCCATCCAACTGATGACCTGCTTGCGTCCGTTGCCACCGCGGGCCATCTGCGCAATCTTCTGTTTACCATTGAGCTGCATGGCGAATATGTAAAAATCAGTACAAAATAATCCGGATAAACTCAAGGCAGTACTTACATGATGCCTGGAGAGGGGTTGTCCAGATGCCGCCATCATAGCCGCAAACTGTTCGGGACTGGGGCAATGCGAGGGCATGGGATCCTTATTCGGCCGCTTGGCAGGAGGTCCGCTGGGAACTATAGTAACTGCAATGAGAAGGTCTTATTTAGTCACACACACTACTAGTAAACAATGCGTTATTACAGACTTTCAAAAATTGAAGTTCTATATAGTTTTCTTTGTTATTAAAATGTGTTACATTTGTCCCAACGACTTAATTGAAGATAAGGATATTACCCCAAATTGATGGAAAACATTACATTAACGTCTGCAGATGTAGTT